CGCTTGGCTAATAAGTGTATGTTTTGGATAGTTTGTGTTTTTAAGTAATAGAAGAATATAAGTTTAAGTTGTGCCATTTTAATTAGTGTTTGAATAGTGCATGAAAAATTATTTTTATGTATTAAAAGAGCTTTTGAACCTGTTTGGATAAAAAAGTCAAAAGCACTTATTATTATAAAAGTAATGTAATAAAAGGATATGGATGATATATTGAATTTGTTGTTCACAAATAAAATGTTAAAATTTGAAATAAAAAAGCTTTTTATAAGCAATAAGGAGATGACTTTGTTTTAAAAGTGCTTAAAAAAATTAAAAACACTTTAAAGTTGTTCATCTAAATAGATTTAAAAATGACTTTTATACTAAATAAATTAAAAACAACCTTTTTTAAGTCAATCCAAACGGACCCTAAATATATTCAAAGCCGGCAATTATAGTTGGCAGTTTGGCATTTAATGGGACTGAATATATTTATTTATTCTTAAAATTAAACATAAGAAAGTGCAAATGGTGCATATTTGTATATGTTCTTTATATAATAAAGTTTTCTACCGCTGGTATATATTTTTAAAAGTTAGATGTATTTAAAATTACATTAAAATAAAAAATATATATAAAATGACATGTTTGATAAAGTAGTGACGAGGTATTTTTTTTTTTCATATTCCCCCGTAGAAATCTCTTTTAGTGTAATCAATACGCCTCAAAATTAGTGTTTGAGTTAATCTTGAGAGCGCGGTTATGAACATGCATCAATGTAATTTGGGCATGTTTAGTGTATCATATGTATCGTATAATATTGTATTATATTATATAATTTTTATACAATATGGTATTTAGTTAGTATATTATTAAACATTATACTATTTTTACCATTATAATCTATTTACGTAGTAGTTTGTAATAAGATAAATTTTATGCATAATCATAACCTAATTCGACTCTAATATCGACCCGAACCCAACATTTAGAGGAAGCAATGGAGAAAGTAGAGTTGCTACATAGGGGTATTTTTACAAAATTTTTTGAAAATATGGTCAAATTGTAATTTTATAAAAATTAAGGGCAAAAATATAATTTGAAAAAGTTGAGGGTCAAAATATTAATTTTGAAAAACTTGAGATGTCAAAACATAATTTTTAAAAAGTTTTGGGTCAAAATATAATTTTAAAAAAAATTAGGGGTCAAAATTTAATTTTTTAAAAATATAAACCCCACATCACTTTAGTCCCGAACTCGACCCCAACGTCGGTCCCAAAACTCAACCCCAAGCCTTGATATTTGCGACATATTTTATGTGTTTTTAATATGATATTTTGAGTTAAATTACATATTACGGTCTAACACATGTTTTTTTTTCGTATTAGATATCATACTTCGTATTATATTAATTTTGAATATCGTATTAAATTATACAATACATAAATATCACCAAACATTATATTATTATTAAACAATACAATACAGAGTGCTTATACGGTGTACCAAATATGTCCTTAGTTCACATTTATATAACCGCGTGTCGGGTGAACAAATTATGTTTATATTGTATAATAGGGAATTATTCATTAATATAATAATCATAGTAGATTAAAGAAGAACGGATAGTTTATAACATGTGTGGCCTATAAATTACACTTTCAAGTAGAGACTCTTACTAGGTTGTTCATATGGCCTTACAAAAGGGTTGCGTGGTAGGTCGCATGTTCAGCAAGGGCTCTTTATCTGGTTGTGGCTTGGGGCTCGTAAAGTGGTGCAGGGCAGATCATGTGTCATGCATTAGCTAGTCAGGGCTTACGAGGTGGTGTGTTGTGATTAGCTTACCGGGGTAGGCGACGTTGCTATGACCGTAAGGATTTTATTCGATTATATTGACAACTCAAATTTGTTTGAGTATCATGGTTGTTTGTATAAAAAATTAACAAAATAAAGAAAATAAAGTGTTAAGTAAAACGTTTTAGTCGAAAAATGTCGTTGGAGTCTTACCTAAAATACAATAAACACCAGATAGTTCTACTTCTTCATGATTCAAAAATCAAAATTATACATTATCAATAAAAAGATCTTTAGTACCTTAATAAAGAGTTTTCATATTACTTTAGAAATATCAATGTAGTTCTTCATCAATGATGATGCTATAAGCCCCCTCAATTTGTCCATATTTACAATTACATATGGTAACTTATACAAAATGTATATATAGCCCCTCTAAAAATTAAGAAATTTATTTTATTCTCCCAATATTGAAAATTATTACTTTAAATCAAAGTTGAATATTATCTCTAAGTTCTTAACAATATCTTTTATTCCTTAATAATAGTTTTGATTATATTGAAGTAAATCCTATTGGTTGTGTTTGGAATTGATCCCGTTTTTATTTTTCATATTTTTCGAGAAAGAAAAAATGAAAATATTTTTAAAACGACGTTTGACGCAATAAAGACAAAAAAACATAAATGAAAACGATTTTTTAGTTTAATGTAAAATGAGAGAGAAATGAAAAACGACTTTTAATCGTTTTTTATTTTTTATTTTCGTTTTCTCCTCTCTCAAGTAGAGAGAGACATTAATGGATTTTTTTATACTGAAAATAATCTCTTAATAAAACTACCAAACGCATTTTCAAAATGATTTTTATATGAGATTGAAACATTTTCATTTTTATTTTCATTTTTATACAAAAAATAAAATTATTTTATTACGAGTTCCAAATGCGCCCATTGTAATTTCTTATTTTCTTGTTTCTTGCTATCGTACGTCTCTTTTTTTTTTTCCCACAAAAAAAATGTACAAATCAACATATTGAACAAAGTGTATAATTTTATGCAAAAATGTTTTTAAATAGAAAAAATAGAACATCCTAACAAATATAATTAATTAGACATCGAATAATTACTGTAGCCCGGTTCATTTCATCGATTCAAATTTTACTACAGTAAAAAGTTCTAAAAAATAATCACATTTAACTTTTTTACTACAGTAACAAGCTCTCACATAAAATCATATCTCAACTTGAATTAAAAACTTAAATCAACGAATTAAACGGGTCATGTATAAGAAAACTTCAGTGTGAAATTTCAGTAACTGTATAAGAAAACTTGACACTGTCTCCTTACTGAACAATTAAAATATATACATTTATTTATTTGATAAAAAAATTCTCTCTATTTTTTTTATAATAGTTCCATTACAAAATTTATGATTAAATAGTCTCCCTGACCAGAATTTCTGGTTTAGTCAGTGTTCTTCATGATTTCTTATTGCCTAAGATAGCAAATTAACGAGTTTTATGATATGATTGGCATTAGGTAACTGGATGATACATTCACAGATACAGCTAAGACTTTTCGGAAGAGATAATAAGCCCCAGCCATTGAGGTTAGGAAACGTGTAAGTATGATCCTGAATTCCAAGATAAGCAATGTGGATTGGCAGCAGAGGATTCGATCTCTTTGGGGAAAGGGCAACAATTTGAGCAGCGCACGTATCTCGAGGACCCCACACCAATTAAAGAGGAACTTCCCCAAAAAGCAGTTTCGTCCTCATTACAATATCCATTTACCTAAACCACCTTCTCTCTTGCTTATTACCTAAAAGTAAATAACCGTTTCTTCAATGACTCCAATTTCAATCATGTTCTGTTCATTGAGGATATTTTCGTCATTTCGTATACATAATTTCTTTTTTCTTCCTCTATTTCTCTATTGTATCTCTTGCCAGCGTGGCACCCAGACAGACACAGAGAGATTTCTTCGGCATCCAGACGCAACTGAGGCCTGTCGTTCCTTCCTTTCATGTCTTTTTTTTTTTTTTTTTTAATGCGAAGTTTATGAGACGTTTAGAAAGGAATTCGTGTCATAATTTAAATTATAATTCGTGAATTATTACAGTATTTTTTTATAAAAAATACACGTAAAATGAGAATGATTCTGAATTATAGTTATGAATTCATGAACCAAACGTCTCCTTAATTTATAAATTTAAAATTATGATTTATAATTATAATTTTTAAATTTTAAATTTTTATAAGAAAAATATTATAACGAATTAAGAATTATAATTTTAAATTAAGTTAAAATTCTCAAAATGAATGGAGTATTAGTGTAGTTTATTGGAAATGCATTTTGGCTTTCTTTAATCCAAAACTTATTTTTAGAGTTTTTTTTTTCTTTTTAAAATTTTTCTTAATAATATTATGAGGCATTGGTGCTGAATACCTCATATATATTAATAAAAAGCGAATCACACAGTATTTTGTCTTATTAATAGACACATTATAACTGCGGTGCTTAATATTATTAATGTCTTTTAAGTAATATATTAAATAAATGACCATTTATAAGAGCTTTGATTGTCTAAAACTATTTCTAATCTAGACAATCAATTACGCAATATAACTTATTGAAACTCAAGACTTGTTAAAACTTTGTTGCTCATTAACTGCCGTACAGTTATGATATCTTGTTATTATTCCAAAAACTGACTAAACTCTTACCTGCCTCCTTTTACTCGCTACAAGTACAAGCACAACCTATCTCAAACAAGTGCAAGACAAACACAACGCAGATAGATCTCGGACGACTTAACGCCGTTAAGCGGTTTAAAGTTAAACGCCACATTCCCTAATCTAGCTCTTTTCTCGTGTCTGTACGAGTTTTTTTTTTTATTTTTTATTTTTTTAATTATTAGAAAAAGAAAAGAAAAAGAAATCGTTTTTTTTTTGCCCTTTTCTTTCCTTAAAACAACCGTCCTTTATTTTTATCTGCTTATTCAAAGCCCACAAAAACAATCTCTCTCCTCTGTCTGGTATCTCTGGCGAGGGCTTGGAATCTCGCCGGAGAACTCGCCGAGAATTCCATTGATTCCGACGAAAGCAAGCTCGACAAAAATTCGGTGAAGCTTTGAGATTGAGAGAGAGGGAAACGTGTTGCTTGTGAGCAGAAATTGATGATAAAGAGAAAGTAAGAGAAGAAGAAGAATATGAAAGCATAAAGAAAAGAAGAAGAAGAAGAAAAACAAATTGGAGGAGGAGAGAGAGAGAGATAGATAGATAGAGAGAGAAAGCGTTAACGTGCAATGCAGGGAAACGAAGGGCTTGAATCATCAAAGAGGAAGCTTTGGAGGATCTTACACGGCACAGATGCCTAGACGATCCCTTCTTCTTTCTTCAATCTCCTTCCTTCTCTTCCCTTGCCGTATGCCGTAATTTATTCTTTTTTATTCCATTTTCTCCATCCTTTTAAATTCCACTCTCTTTCCTCTTTCTCTCTCTAAACTATCACAAACCTTTCCCTCACAATTCGCCATTTGAATTCTCCTCGCATTTCAACCTCTTCGCTTCTCCGATCCTCTGATCGCTTCCTTTTGGAGTGCAAAGTTTGGTTTTTTATTAATATTTGGCTGCTTCTCAGGTAAAATTCATATATTCTTTTTTGCTCAATTTCGACGATTCTTCGCTTAGAAATCTACAGACAACTCAAATTCCTGTTTCTGGTGTCGTAGTTGCTCTTGATCTGGTTGATATTCTAGAGAATTTGCTTCTAGATTTGCGTTTTGGAAGACTTGTTTCCTATTTTGTAGTCATATATGTAATTTTAGAAAAAAGATGACCTTTTTTAGAACATATTTAAATTAAATGCGTCAGAATTTCTCTCAATTGCCATAATTAATTGATTTATAAGCGAGATCTTTAGGTCATTCAGCTAGTATATAGTTTTTTTCCGCCATTTTTTTTTGGGTAGTAGTATGCCGGGTTTTTTTTTTTTTTTGCCCTAAATCTCGTAGAGAATTTAATTGGGAGATATTTTAATTGTTGAAGTTTTTTTAAAGGATTAATTGTTTAAATTTTTGGTTGATCTTTTTATGCAGTTTTTCCTTCTCTTTATGCCGGACGGAAAATTGTTTAAATTTTTGGTTTATCTTTTTATGCAGTTTTTCCTTCTTTTTATGCCGGACGGAAAATTTTGATGTGTCAGTTGCCAATATAGTGGTATTACGCGTTTGTGGATGTGGGAGATAATAATTTTGCTGAAAAAGTTTCTTGGGTTTTAGGCAATCAGGGCTTGGTTTCATTATGCCGTCTGAAATAAGGGACCTGCAGAGCTTGTCCTCATCATCCTTCTTCTCTGAGGCTTCATGTTTCCCAAACGAGGTATGTGTTAGCTGCTACCTATATATTTGATTTCCCATTTTCCCCCAACTTATTCATAATCATGCATATTTTGTATATGTTTATATATGAATGTATATGCATGTGTGGCTATATTTTATGATGTATCACGTTGATTGTTAAAGAACTCATGCATTGTCCTGGGGTTGCTGAGGTTTATGATTTTTTCCCTTCCTTTTTCTTTGTTCTTGCCCTTCAGAACGCTATTGTCCTTATCTTTATCCTTTCCGTTTTGATAACTTTTGCAGAGGCAGGTTGGATTCTGGAAGTCAGATAACATGCTCGATAACTATGGTTTGTATCATCTTTCTCGATAATACCGTCTTGATTAATTAATTAATTAATTTATTTATTTATTTTTGTTCTGTAAAGAGCACACAACTGCGTTTGGAGGTTGGTTTTGTTTGCAATCCTCAAGCCTGGAGTTATGAAATAAATTGTGTAGTTTCTATTGTTCTTTAATACTTTCCACAGTGCATTTATGACTTACTTGTGAGAATATTTTTGAACTTGACGGCACTGAACCTGCAAGTTAAGACACTTTTCGAACCATCCTAGTTCGACCGTAAAAGGTTCAAAATGGCACAATTCAAACCCACGAACCAAAGGACCCCTAATTGACTTACTTGATACAGTGACAAACAATTGAAATTGTTTAGCTCCCCCTCAAGTTCAACCGTTCAAACCATTTTTGAACAGTAAAAAGGTGCCAACTCTCTCTGCTTTTCACACCTACCAAACACAAATTCGAATTTTATTCCCCGTTCAAATTAAAACTTTAACTACACATCCAAACTACAACTCAAACCACACAGTTTGAATTTTTATGTTCAAATCAACAAAATTCAAACTAGCAAACCAAATGGGGCCTAAGTTTATTCATTCAAGAAATTCAAATCAATAACAGCTTTTCAGATCAAGTAACAGTTATGTTTATTCATTGTAAATTTAATTGGAATATAAAATTAGTAACAATCAAGTGTATTCAATAAATAAATAAGCGAATTGAGCTTATGATAATATGTTTTGTTATGACCAGGCTGCCATGAGAAACTGAACCATCATGGCAGAAGAATAAAATTCGTTAGACATGCCAACAAGGCTCTTTTTAGTGCCCCCCAATCCTCCCCCACCAGCCCCCCAACCCCCGTTTTTGTTTTTTGGGTTCAATGTTTCTTTAAGAATGTATCTATTCTTTCTTAGTTGTGAAAGCATTGTATAGTTATTACTATATAGTTCTCATGTTCCAAATTGTGGTGAGAAAAATTTAAACGAGTTGTCAAACTTTTAAAGACTGTTCCTTAATTCTGAGTTTCGACAGTCATAATGGTGCATTTCGTGGTAGTTGGTAATTCTGTGATATTATACATATGCAATATGAAATTATTTTCTGGCTCTCAAGACACTATATTATTGTTTTTCCTGTTATCTGATGATTTTCATTTATTAAGGAGTAAAGGCTAATCTATTGTCATGAACAGCCAATGAGAAGTCAATTGCATCATCTTCTCTGGAGAAATTCCTTCCAGTGGAGCGTCAGAACCTGAAGTCACCCGAGTCTTTTTTAATGCAAGACCAGAAAGTGATCTCTAGCTTAAATAGACATGCAATAGGACCAGCAAGATCATCCAGTCACTCCTTGCCTCCGTTGAAACACATAGACCATAATCCAATAGCACGATCTAATACAAAAGCAGAAGCAGCATCTTATTTTGTGGAAGGCAGCAAAGTCAATGTGATGGGTTCTCAGTACGAGAGTAGTCTCTTCTCAAGTTCATTGTCTGAGCTGTTTAGTCAGAAGTGTAAGTTTTCCCCACAATGCTTGTTTAAGTGTGTGTGTGTGTGTCATATACCGGTGGCTGGTGCTACTTCTCATTGGTGACATACCAATATCTTACTGATGATTGAGTCTAGGATAGGGCTTGCTGCTTTGCTTTACAATGCTCTTTCTTTTTTTTTTTTTTTTTTTTTTTTTTTTTTTTCCAGTGAGATTGTCGGCGAACAATGCTGTATATGGCCATTCAGTTGATACTGTTAATCCACACTATGAGGAAGAGGAAATCATGGAATCCCTTGAAGAAATAGAGGCCCAAACCATTGGGAACCTTCTTCCTAACGATGATGACTTGCTTTCTGGAATTACTGATGGGATTGATTATAATATCCAATCCAATGGTGGAGATGATATGGACGAGTTAGATCTTTTCAGCAGTGTTGGAGGGATGGATTTAGAAGATGAAGCTGGACAAAAAAGTGAATTTCCTGGAATTTCTAATGGTCTGCCAGGGCTATGTAATGGTTCAATTGTTGGAGAACACCCTTACGGTGAACATCCTTCTAGGACATTGTTCGTGAGAAACATAAATAGCAACGTTGAAGATTCTGAGTTGAGAACCCTATTTGAGGTGTGCCATTCTTTTTCTTAGGTTTTACTTTTTGGCGTTTTATTTAGTTAAGCATCATATGTTATTTAAATGTAACTCTTACTAAAATTACATACTTCCAATGTTCAGCAATACGGGGACATCCGCACTCTTTATACAGCCTGCAAGCATCGGGGTTTTGTTATGATCTCTTATTATGATCTCAGAGCAGCTCGGAATGCGATGAAAGCACTTCAAAACAAGCCATTGAGGCGTCGGAAACTCGACATACATTACTCGATTCCAAAGGTGAGCCTCTCCATTTTTGTCTTTGCTGATACAAGATGTTGCTTTATTATCATCTTATCACAATTATTCGACACTGGTGATCTCGTAAGACATATTTTGTTGTACTTAAACTTTCTTCATTAAACTTTTTACCTTATGGCTTATTTTTATTTCATTTTATCAGGAGAATCCCTCTGAAAAAGATGTTAATCAGGGCACTCTTGTAGTGTTTAACCTTGACTCTTCTGTCTCAAATGATGAACTTCGTCAAATTTTTGGTGTTTATGGAGAAATCAAGGAGGTGAGCTTGTGTTTCATTTTCATTGGTTGGACACTGCAAATATATAAGGGTGCTTATAATGCATGGTTGTTTTTCTTGCTGGATTGCAGATCCGTGAAACACCACACAGAAGTCATCACAAATTTATTGAATTTTATGATGTTAGAGCTGCAGAGGCTGCTCTTCGTGCATTGAATAGGAGTGATATTGCCGGAAAGCAAATTAAGCTAGAGCCAAGTCGCCCTGGGGGCACAAGACGGTATACTTTCCATGCTCAATATTTCTCCCTTGTGTTGTCCTTATTCTTTGATTGTCCCTTTATTTTAGTCATCAATCAAATGGTAATCCAAAGCCACTGGCCAGTTTGGTCTTGAAGCAACCCGCCTGAAGATTCTAGGAGAATTGTAGGAAGGATGGACAGGTGTCTAGCCAATGTAATTGGATGCAAATAATCAATTTTTATTTTTTATTTTATTTTTATGGGCCAGTGGGGAACGGGGGATCATGCACCAGTGGGTGGTGTGCGGTTTTATGACTGCAGATATGTTAATTACATAAGTCCTTGTCGAAAAAGATATGTGATTTGTACATTTCTTTATGTATATGCCTCTTAAATTTGTTACTCAAATTAATTGCTTTCGTGTTTTGTTTCCAACTGCAGTTTGGGGCAGCAGTTCCCTAATGATTTGGAGCAAGATGAATGCAGCCTTCATTTGCAGCATAGTAGCCCTCCTATTAACTCAACAGCTGGATTTTCTGGTAAAGCTATTTCTCTTCCAAAGAAGATCATGCTTGATTCAATTTGAGTACAGTACATATTATGTTTACCTTGTCTCACAGAGTTCTTAACTGTCCCAGTTCAACATGGAGCAATAACTTCTAGTGGTGTAGATAATGGAACTGTTATTAGTGCACACAGCACAATACATACTCCACGGCTTGAAACTGCATTTCATCATGGGATATCTTCTAGTGTTCCAAATAGCTTGTCCTCTCTGGTTAGAATTGAATCACTTGGCAACCAATCTACCCTTACAGAGTCCAATCATTCACCAGGGCCACTTAAGTTTGACATCCATGGCACATCAGCTTTTCATCCTCACTCACTCCCAGAGTTTTATGATGGTTTAGCCAATGGTGTTCATTCCAATTCTCCAAGTACTTTGTCTACGAGCGTCAATCCTAGACCACCAGAAAGAATTGATAGCAGGCAATTTTGCCGAGTAAACTCAAGCTCAATTGAACTCAATGAGAAAGGTCAGTCCTGCTGCTATTATTATTACTATTTTTTTTTTAATAATACTGTCCTCATTGATGCACGAGGCATTCTAAGTTATTCACAAACCAGCAAACACCTATTCTTGTCCATGATTTGAATTTCTTTTGAATCTTCGTTTAAAAGTTTGTCAATTCGGAATTGAGCTTGATCTTGTTCTTTTCTAAATTTTGTTATCTTGACTCCTTTTTTTTAATTTTTGTTTTCTTCAGTTTTTGGATCTACTGGAAATTGTAGCTCTCCACTCCCTGGACATCATTATGCATGGAGCAACTCATTTCACCCTCAACCTCCAGGCGTGATGTGGCCGAACTCTCCAACATTTGTCAATGGAGTTTGTGCAGCCCATCCTCAAACGCGCCTCCCTGGACTGCCTAGGGCACCATCTCATATGTTGAACCCAGCTTTACCCATGAGTAGTCATCCTGTGGGGTCTGCGCCAGTGGTCAATCCTTCTCTCTGGGACAGGCGACACTCCTATACAGGGGAATCCCCCGAGGCTTCTGGATTCCATCCTGGTTCCCTTGGGAACGTGAGAATTTCAAACTCACCTCATTCTTTGGACTTTGTTTCACATAGCATGTTTCCGCATGCTGGTGGAAACTGCATGGACCTTCCAATTCCTTCAAAAAGTGCAGGACTGCAGTCCCATCATCAGAGGTGTATGGTGTTTCCAGGCCGAGGCCAAATGATTCCCATCATGAATTCATTTGATCCTCCAAGTGAACGTGCTAGAAGTCGTAGAAATGAAAGCAACTCTAATCAGATCGACAACAAGAAACAATATGAGCTGGATATTGACCGCATAATGAGAGGAGAAGACAACCGAACAACCCTAATGATAAAGAACATTCCTAACAAGTAAGTATCTTGTGACTTTGATTCTGGGAGAATTCTTGAAAATGCTGGAGGTTATGTGCATATTTCTTACCATAAAAGTGGCAATTGCTTTATCGAATTATGAAATGTTGGACTAGTCTGTATGAGACATAGCAGATTGATGGAACTTTTTGGGTTCCAAATAAGCTTGAGATTTTTCAAGTTGCTAGTGATTGGCAGAAATAATTGAGCAAGTCTATGCGGCACTTCCACTGCATTGCACCGAAACACTCAAGCGGATCCTGCTGGGGGATCCTAACTGTGGGACTCATTTGTCTGTGTGCGTGATGTGGCATGGGTGGTGCTGCACAGCGTTTTTCAAAAATAGGATGTTTTTATTATGCAGTATCACTTTGAACATTTTCATTTATATGAATATGAGGACTTGGACTTCATAGACACTGCCTAGTTTGTATGTTCTCAATGATGTAGCAAATAAGAGAAACCTTCCTATTAGTCAACAGTTTCCTTTGACAGTCTTCTTCTCACGATAATGATTTTCTGGTTTAATTTTGTAATAATTTAGATACACTTCAAAGATGCTTTTGGCTGCAATTGACGAACGTCATCGAGGAACTTATGATTTCATTTATCTACCGATAGATTTCAAGGCAAGTTCTCATTCTTGTTTGAATTATACCTTCTCATATTGTAGTTTAAACGTGGACGTCCTATGCTTTTTCTATTTGATGGATTAATGTGGCCTTTTGTATTTGTTACAGAATAAATGCAATGTGGGGTATGCATTCATCAACATGACTGATCCTAGCCTGATCGTTCCATTCTACCAGGTATGTTTCATATAGGGCTTGTTCTTTTAGAGTAAAACTCAAAAAAAGTTTGAACTCAAGTTACAACTTTATTCAAGTTCATGTTCGTTTGTAAAATTTGAGTTTGAACTTGAGTTTGAACTCGAATTTAAACTTGAGTTTAGGGCTAAAATTTGATTTCCAGTTTCCCCTTCAACTCAAGTTTTTAAACTCAAACTCAAGTTAATGAACAATATTTTTTTCTATTCTTAAAAACGTCATAACTTTTTCATTTTAATTCCGATTGAAATGATTTTTTTTTTAATGCGTTCACAACGAAGAGACGAATAAAATTATACCCATATACTCTATTAAATTTTTTCATCACCATTGAGTTTTTATTAAAATACTATCTAAATACAAATTCAAGTTTTGACCAACTCAAACACAAACTCAATTAGATTATCAATTCAAATCATAACTCAAATGTGCACATCCAAACACAAACTCAAGTTACAACTTTAACTCAAATTTAACTCAAAATCTATATTTAAATCACCATAATTTAAAATTACAATCGAACGAGCCCATAATCTCTTGAATGCTAATGATACGTCCAAGGAAACTAAAACTAGATATTCCTATTTGGCAGTCATTTAATGGGAAGAAATGGGAGAAGTTTAATAGTGAGAAGGTGGCTTCACTAGCCTATGCTCGCATTCAAGGTAAATCTGCTCTAATTGCACATTTCCAAAATTCAAGCTTGATGAATGAGGATAAGCGATGCCGACCAATTCTCTTCAATACAGACGGGCCCAACGCAGGTGATCAGGTATGAGAGCCATATTTAAATCAGTTGTTTGCAGTCCTTATTCTACTTAAAATCCTTCAACAGGATATAGGAAATTCAAAATGTTGACTTTTCACACCCAAACTTATGTTCTGCAATTTGTTTCTTGATAGAATATTCTGAATAATGACCCAGTAATAGTTGTTACTATCATTGATCAGAGTAATCCTTTGCTGGTATAGGTTCCGTTTCCCATGGGGGTGAATGTTCGCACAAGACCTGGGAAATCTCGAACGAGTATGCATGAAGAGATCCATCAAGGAAGCCCACCGAGTTTCGGAAATGGGGATGATTCTTCTCAAGGAGAGACGTCTGGTTCTGTCAAGGAGTCAGATTAAGCAAAGCTACTAAGTTTTTTGTGGGCACTAAACTAACCTTTTATAGCACTAAGTACTAATCTGCATCCTCGTACAAGACCTGGTGACATATAACTACAGGTGGCACAAGGGAGGGTAAACTTGTCTTGGTGGCTGATTAAAAATTTGAGGAAACCCTTAGCCAACAATGCCAAGTGGTTTTCCAATTTTGTCCTGAGATTTTTCTGACTCTGAATTGGTTAGAGGCATGCATGCTTGGCCAATCCTAATTGGATTTCCAGTTTTCTTGAGATTTTTCTTATCAAATTCTGGAATTGTTAAGAGGAAAAAAAAATGAAAAAAGGGAAAATCTTATTTAGCTTTGAAAATTTTGGATGAACTTGAGAGTACCGATACATAATGAAAAGGAGAAAAAAAAAAGAAAAAAAGAAAAAAGCGTGGTATGTACAGGAGTTGGGAGTTCCAGCACTGGAGATTGTTTGCTTACAGTATAAGGCTTTAACTGCTATATTATTTGTTCTTTCGTTTCTCTTTATTTTATTCTTATTTTCCTTTTGGGTTGTCGGACATAGTGGCTATCTGTAATTGTTCCGCAGCTACGGAGGTCTTGTTGAAAAATTTGAAATGACGAACTAATTGTCTCGTACTGTTGCCGTTGAGATACATTTGGGTCCCTTAAAGGTGTGTCGAGAATTTTGATTTCTTAATTTGGTCTCACAAGTTTCTCTAAATATTATACAGCAGCATACACAGAGACCTGATAGGGATACAAACTCTCATCCATAGAACAAAACTTTCGATTGGGATTGACCTGCTTATTGATTTCTGATAAAAACATACACATCAATTCTCACATGGACATCTAACAAAATGGACAAATTCAACCATATTGATCCTAAAACCCATTGCCTACCGCCAACTTGAAGGAGAGTTCTCATATTTTCATCGGTAAATGTAATTTTAATATGCAGTAAACTTTTAAACGTCTTATTATTCAAAGGACGACAACTCGAGTATCTTTCTTTTTGTAGCTGTGTTGTATACTTTTTAAAACCTGCAGTATTATGTTTCCCAAAAAAGAAGCATGTGTTGACAAGTGTATGAGCCACAGTGTAATTCTCACAAGGTCCACAACTCGTTGATTAGCAAAAGGGTCCGCAACTTGTAAAGACTCAGGTTGCCCTGTAATCCTATAACCAAAACTCTTCAGACTATGGTCACTTGTTTCCAAAATGCAATTTCTCATTTAAAAAAAAAAAAAAAAAAAAAAAGGAAGGAAAGAAAGAAAGAAAGACGGGGTGGGTCATCAAATGTCAAGTTGAGTTATTGAGCTGATTATCACAGGTTTCTCACGAAACGTTGATCTTATGGTCCCAGTCACACATCCGAGTATGTTTGAACACTTTTTGAGAAAAAAAGTCTACATCAGAAACAAAAGCGAGCTTTCACATTTAAAGAGCACTCTGAATGCATTGCCTTGTCAACTTGTTTCTTGATAACCTCATTCATTAACCAGGGGTATTTGCCAATAGCCTGCGAGATATATATATATATATATATATATATATATGTATGTACACAAGTAAAAATTAGTACCACCTACTACTTACCAAATTCCAAATATAACTCTGGACGTCACAAAACAAAATGCACAAGTATGATTTTTTCAAGCTCACCAACAATCCCAGAGCAGAAATATAATTTTCAAGCGGCAACAACGGGGTTAAAATCAAGATTTTATTTCAACAAAATAGAGCATTTTAGGCTGCTTCCTCATTTCTATCGATAAATGTAAATGTAGACATAAATGTAATAATTGATCATGATTATCAACTTACAGGAACGGAGAGGATGTCACTTGGGGTAGAGAATATCATAATGACCCGGGCGATATAGCAACGTAATAAAGGGAGTAATTGTCCCAGAGCTACCACTAGCATTTGGACAATCACCACCAGCAGGAACAAAATCATGATGATTTACGCTAACACTGCTCGTGTCACATGAGCTGCGGTCTAGGTACACAACGCGGATGGGCACACCCAATGCATCTGAAAGGGCAGTAATATGCACATGATCACTTTCTTCTCCCATGGGTTCCACTGACAACTTGCAGAACTGCGCCAAAATATGTCATATTAAAGAGTGATGGAGCATGGAAGCTAACTAATGCAGGGCAGAGCAGTGAGTTTTACTAAAATTTTATTTGATTATTATCTATATTAGAGTTTGATTAGGATCATTGTTTATCCTTGAGATCTTGATGTTTATCTATTTAGTATTTTACTTGAATTAGGACTCCTAAATTGGCTAGGATTTATCATCCTATGAATAAGCTTTGTCTTTATAATTTATTTCAGTTTTCATATCAAATTTCATAGTTATTTTAGTATTTTCTACTATGCTGCATCACTAACACTGAAATTTGGTAGATACAATTTAACCTTAAAGTCAATTGGAAAAAGTATAAAAATCCTTGCAAGAGCACACAAATTGGATTACTGTCTTACGTGAGAAAGCAAGTCCAGATACTTCAAATGGAATAATTTGACATTTTCTCTAGCAATGACAGCAAAAGATCGCAGTAACATGTATAGCAAAATTAAAATAGTTCATTGTTAAGCAAACCTGCTCTACTGTTCCATTTGCTCCATTTGTTAATCCCACAATGAATGGTTCGAAAAACTCTGAGCGCTTTTTTATTTCACCAGAAGTAACAAATCTGAAAAACATTACAACTAACCAGACAAATTTGTCAGGAAACATAGTAAAACGTAAATTAACCATTGTGGACTTTAAAGTCACAGTCACTCACCATAGTCAGATACTGATTGATCTCGACTCCTAAGTATGAGCTCGTCATGGCTGTCAAAAATAATAAATCATGTCAGTTCTACCAAAAGAAAAAATATAGTATTAAAATGCTACATTATTTTATCATTGTCAATAGAATGCCAATATGAGCAAAGAAGCAGTCAATACCTCATAGGAGCTTCGTTTCCTCCAAGAACACTTTCCAGCTGCTCCATGAAGAGCTGAACAAATTTTCACGCGGTATCAGAGATGGAATAGAACTATAAAGAATTAACATTAGAAGCTGCTGTCATGATGTGCGTTGCTATACTTTATGAATAAGAAAACCCAAATGGGTCAAATGGGTCCAACTAATTCCCAGAAAGTCACCCGAAGCCATTTGCACAAATTGCTACAAAGATCACAACAATGGGCTAAAGAATGGTAACCTAGATAACTTTACCGCAAAGAAATCCTCAAAAGTAAATTCTGCATAGCCCAAGCTCTGAAGTGTTTTTCTACATTGCTCAACATTGATTTTGATGCGATCAGCTTCTGCTTTATCTTGTGTTTCCAAAATGTGCTCCTGTTTGGGCAGACAAGAATTAATACTGAAAAATTCAGAATAATTTTATTTGCATATAAAGAGAGAGAGTAAGATGTTTATAATAAGACATACAAGGTACGAAAACATAAAGCCCCGATAAAAGCAGTTCCCATCTCCCCGTGTTCTCCGAATGGCAGCATATTGTTCATCAAGTACCTAAGAAAAAGGTAGTAAATATTATATACACTGGAGCCCAGTAACAGCAAAAAAAAAGAAGAAAAGAAAACACATATAACATAAAGAACCTTAATTTTCTCTAACAAGATAGTGCTGCCAGATTGGTATTCCGCTGCCAGTGAAGAGAGAGGCTCCTGCAGGTGTATTATCATCACTAAAGAGATGTTCAAAAAACGCAAGTTTCAGATTAAGGGGAGGAATTGCATTAGCAGTGCTTGAACAAAGCAAAAGCAAATGGCTTTGGAGAAAACAAATTGGTATGTGAATCACTAAATAAACTGGTTTCACGACATCCGAATGCTCAACCAAGGTAAAAGTATAGAACCAACATATTCGTGAGAACAAATTGAGATAAGCTACCATTAAACCAGTAAAATTAAGCATATGAAGAGAGAATAGAATCGTGAAAGTGAAAAAGATAACAATACTAACGCTAACAAACAGCATATGCAGTCAATAACTCAAAGAACTTGTTCTTGCCTTGTCACCAACAAATGGAATTTTCTCAGCTTCCTCTCTCCCAAATGTAGATTGCTGCTGGGTCACATCATCGTCGGGAAAAGTTAACCAATCATCGTATTCAGACTTAGGAACAGGAATTACAGACTCTCTATCTCCGTCAGCTTGAAGCCCTTCCCGATTCTGCATTGTCTCTTGAGACAAGAAAGCAGCCTCAGGGAGTGTTTTTTTACTATCTTCTGAAGAAGTCATCAATGATTGTGTTTTGCCTCGCCGTGCTTCCGTTACTAGGGAGAAAGCGATCAGTTTTACGTAGCTGCCAGGCAGGACATATTAGCAATAGAACACTAAACCAATCGACCATTCAAAAACAAAAACAGTTTCAAACATAAACGTTGTTGAATAGCCTACACAGAAAGATTAATGCATATACATAAACATTTTTCTCTATATCTGCTTCAACTCTTATAAACATTAGCACCCTACATTTAAAAAAATATCTTAAGCCTCAACTTATTCATTGTATCGCAGCAAATCACAAACTATCTTGACAGTTAAAAAACAAAAACAGTGCATACATAACATGTTGATTAATAGGCAAGAGATTGTTCTCTATATCTGCTTCAACACATATAATAAGTTAGTGTCAACACAGAACATGTTCTACAATTCCTAAAATTTGCAAATATTCTAGAAAGCTTTGAGACAGCTCCAATGTCCTAGCTTTCTTGAGGCCTTTTTTTTTTTTTTTTTTTTTTAACAGAAGAAAGTATCTATTAACCAATAGATCAGACAATCAATGGTGGAAGATATCCAACCATTAAAATGTTCCTTTCTATCCAAAAATCAAATAAAGATAAATCATGTATCATAAAAACAACACATAAAAAGATTTATGAAACTGCCTGGAAGAGGAAATAAGACACGAGGACAATTATCTAGAATGAAAAGCCAAATGCAAAACATACCTAAAAAAATAAAAAAATAAAATGATAATTAGGATATATCTTAAATTAGTGGCATGATTAAGGAAAATAAATAGAAAAATATACTTATCTTGAAACCACATTCAAATTTCCAGCGTATGTATTTGAAGGATTGCAATATTCAACCAAGGTTGATATTTTAGTAAAGAGGGAGTAAGGAAGGAAGGCCTTCATTACCAGCCTCTTTTTAATACATAGCAAAGTAAACCCTTTTAGGGAATCAAAAACACTAAAAAACAGTAATAAAAATAAGACTAGTTGTAATAAGAAATAAGAGCGGATATTGACTTTTGAAGTCAAAGTAATTGATAAAAATCATGAAATGCAGTTATCCTAATAAGGGGGAAATTTTTGAAAATGTTTCAAAATGAAACAGAGGGAAAATTTTTAATAACTGTATTCAAAAGTAACTGTCCATATTAGTAAAAATCTGCAAACAATATAATAGTAATAAGATTTAACGTTAAAAATAGATTAAAATATATATATTTTTAAATAATTATATAGATGAGAAAAAGTAACTTATGGGGAAACTTAAGTAATGCAGCATTTAGATCTAAATCATTAACCTTTCTGTCATTTAATGATTAGAACTAAATATAATCAGAAGAAGTTGTCATCATAGTAACTAGATAATATGAGTAAAACTTTAAGAAAATAACTATTGAAACACCCATATGGGAGACTATTTAAACTCTTAAATGAAGAGACTAGTGAAACTCAAGACTAAAGTTATTACACTGACTAAAGAAAATTATGAAGTGCGAGAAAATCTTAGAGAACGAGAAAATCTAAGAGTAAAGTATAAGTATGATACAAGACAATGACGTAGATTATTATATACAGATAAACAGCAACATGTATAGCAGAATTTGAGTCAATAGGAAAAAATCAATTAGGCCAAGGAACAAGCATAAAACCTTCCCATAATGCAACAAGTGCAGAAACTAAGTAAAGAAACAACCAGATAAACAAGGATAAACTCAAAGATATTCCAGGGAAAAAAAATGCCATAAAATGGGAATACATATGGATTACAAAAGAAGCTCCAACCCAATCTAGTTACCAAACAAAGAAGTTACCAAACAAAGAAAGAGGAAAATAATCCTAATCTATACAAATCATTAAAAACCATTCACACAGTGCTTAATCTGAGACTCAACCCGAGAGGATCAGGATCCAATCAGTGATTAAAGGCAATGCTACGTTGGAACCGTACATAATCACTTCCAATCAAGCATTGGAGATCGGAGATATCACTCAGGTCAGTACGAAACAAGAGTTGAACACAACTTTCAGGATGGGAGGTTCGTTGAATTCGTCGATTGAAAGGTAAAGTTTTCCATTAGGCAGAAGCAGAACAGAAGACAAAATTGATTCAACGACAGATAAACCACCACAAAGGTTATAAGAAAACGGGTTACAAAGGATTCAAATATGAAAGAATGTCGATGTTTCAATTAAGGTTACATAATAATATTTTTAAAAGAGACAGAATTTGTTAGATTTCCCATTTCCCAAACAAACATATCGAAAGTGAAGAGAGAGAGAGAGAGAGAGACCTTTTCGATCGGAATAGGGGAAAGGAACGCAGGGACCAGAATGAGAGCAATCGAAGGTGACGTTACTTCCAATTCCTCGGGGGGTTTCTTTGAAACTCAGCACAACTCTACCCCCAATTCCTCCGATTTCATTTATGCCTGCCAAGGGCGTCAACGGAAATTATTATATCGAGATTAAAGACGACAACTTTACCAGATTCTAAGACGAGATCAGCGAAATCGAAGAAGAATATTTTCTTTAGGTTGTGCTGCTGTAAATGTAATGGGAACCCTAGTTGTACAAAGGATAGAGAGAGAAAAGAGAGAGAGGACGATGGGTTTGTCCGTATCGTTCTCTAAAAAAAAAAAAAATGCTTATTGGTTGTTCATGAATGAAGTTTAGAAAAATTTCTAATTTTGTTATTGTGTTTTGAGTTCCGTTTGGAAAGCTTTCTTTTTTTCATTATAAATTATGGAAAATTTTTCAGACTTCCCAGTTCCCAATTGTTCTCAATTTCCATTTAGCTTTCTTGAGGCAGTTAATAGCTCTTCAAAAGCTAATTTCCAAACAAACTTCTGACTTGTTGTGTGTTAATGTCTGAATTGCGCTATTTTGGGAATGTGCAATGAAATACAAAATCAAACTATCATTTTACATTAATTGCTTTTGGTGACAATCTTCTTCAATTTTTCTTTTCAATTGTAATTCAAAACATCAATACTCATCATCTGCGTAAGAATATTCCAATATCATAACAAAATCGCGTAAAATTTAGTGAGAAAACGCGTGATAAATTGAGAAATAAACCCTAAAAAGACATTGAAATAGAGAAAGAATAAAGATCGATCAAAAACAAAAATTCATGCACCGAAAATTGAAGGGATTTTTTCCTTTGAGTTCTACCGAAATCAAATTCGGAATTCAAAATTTGTGAAAAATCTTTCAAAATGATAACTTTTGTTAGGAATAAAATTAATATGAGAGCATTAGAAGAGCGACGTTTCCATCACACTATTTATTTTTTTTTAATTATTCACACTATTTTACTGCGACTCTCCATTTTAATTTTTACGCTTCACTGATTGTTTACTACATAATGACAACTTAAATTTTGGTTTTAACAAAAAGTTTTTTTTTTTTTTTCACCTTTACACCCCCGATGGCCCGATCTTTATGTAGTTTATCAAATTGTTTCAATTTTGTCATATAATCCTCTCAACGTGTCAATTTGTCAAATGTTGGAATGTAACCCAAACTTTTAGGGGGAATGTGCTAAAAACCAAACAATGTTTTAATTGTTTGAAAAAATTTAGCACTTGAACTTCTAAGCTTGTCTTAAAAATTGTGTACTTCTAATTTTGAACAATATGAAACTTCATCTATTTTATAGTGTCAAATTAATTGCTGTGCATTGTTTTCATTTAATGTGAATTTCACGCTTTTTTTTTTTCCCAAGAATCTGTTTTTTTATTTATTTTATATCTAAAGGAAACCAATAAAAATAAAAATTGAAAATGAACGAGACACGAAAAAGCAAAGCAAATGAAGGTACAGAGGAAACTCATAAAAAAGCTACAAGGAAAAACTTATCAAGGAAATACGTGTGGTTTTTGACACATTTCACTCAGAAAAGTTGAGTGAAGATTCGTCGTGATAGCTAAACGGTGAATTCGGCCCGTTTAATTTATGTATTTGAATTTATAATTATAATTTTGTTATAGTTTCTCATCTCATAAACAATTTAAATTTAAAAATTTATTTTCTCACAAAATTTTTATTAATAAATCAAAATTGTTGACTTAAAAATGTAAACTAAACAGACTCATCCTGTTTTTAAACTATAAATAGTTTTGTGGTCATGATTTCTATTATTAACTTTCAAGTGAGTTTTTGTGCTTAATTAATTTTTTTGTTACAGTAAAAAGTTCTCACATAAAATTGTATCTTAACTCAAATTTTAAATTTAAATCAGCGAAACGAACGAGGCAGTTAGTCCATCCCACACTCTTTTTCATTTTATTTACATTACTGTTTAGTAGGTTTTCATTTTTTTAATGTCAGAAGACAAACAATTCCTTAGATAAACCATTTGTTAAATGAATAATTCTATCTTAAAAATTTAAAATGATGAGAGATATTGGTTGAGGGTTGATGTAGTTTAAACATCAACAAAAAAGGGACCAATTTGAAATTGTAACAACCCTGAAAGTTCAGTGGAAATTCGTAATAATCCCAAATAATTACTGGAATGGATTTATTTGTTTAAGATAAATTAGATAATAATTGAACCAAACGCAACGCCGAAGCCGGCAACTTCCATTTCGTCCGTGGTCTCCTCCACTCTTCTTTGCGAACTCGTAAGTCGCTCCCCATTCGCCTAAAACCTGCATCTTCCATTTTCAACTTATTTTCTTCATTTCTTGAATTCTTTTGAATTTAATTTCTTTTTTATTTTAATTCATGAGAAAGTTTTTCTCACTTTTTGGTTTTCGGTGTCTGAATTTCTCTGCAAGAATTTGTTTCTTTTTATTTATATAATCACCAATTAGCATATTCCATGGAATTTTGCGATGTAGAACAATTGGTGTGGAGTCTTGGCAAAGTTAATGGAGGATAAAAATCTCATGAACAAGAAGAACAATAATAAGAAGAAGACGAAGAAGAAGAAGAAGCTGAAGCTGAAGAAGAAAAGCGAGAAGATTTCGGATTGTGGGTTCATTTTCATGTGTAATGGAAGAACCAAACCCGAATGCTACAGGTTCCGTGTATTTGGCTTACCTAGGGCAAAATTAGATGTTGTTAAGGAAATTAAACCCGGTGCCAAACTGTTTTTGTTTGACTTTGATTTGAAGCTTCTTTATGGTGTCTACAAGGCCACTTCTGTTGGAACCTTGGACTTGGAACCTGCTGCTTTTAATGGCAGATTTCCTGCACAGGTAAACTTGCTTACACATTCAATAAAATAGTCGAGATTTGGATGGTTTGTTTAGTTAGAGTGGTGTATAGAAGTTAAAACGAATCGATTAAATAGGATTTACGAGGACAAATCGCCAACATGTGTATCATGTAAGTATGATGATGTGGCACACCAGGTCTAATGAATAATTTATGGTTGTAATAAAGATGATCAAATGATATCATGGGTGTGATGTTTACTTTTGTTACATTCTGTTTCTTGGTTTAGGTAAGATTTAAGATCTACAAAGAATGTTTACCTCTTCCGGAGAGTGCGTTTAAAGTTGCAATTAGAGACAACTACCAGGGTTCCAAGTTTAGGCAAGAGCTTAGTGGCACGCAGGTAGAGCATTATCTTACTTCTTGCACTTTAATTGCTGGGTGCTTTGTAATTTGTTTTTGGACCTGGTATTTGAGAGTAACTTAACTGATAGATAATGTAGTTTCTTTGTGAATTGTGAATGAAGGTGAAAGGCCTGATTTCATTGTTCCGCCCGCTCACTTCGACAGCACCTACTGCTGATAGGCTGCATTACTCAACTGTTGCAATACCCCGGTCTTTCCCGTCTCCGGTTATGGAAAAAGGGTTCCAGCAACCGTCAAGACTACACCATACTCCTGCATTCCAACTCCCTGATACTCGATCAAAACAGATAGTTGCACCTGCCCTGTACAATCTATATGGACCAGTGGCAAGCATTCAACCTCAAATAGGGCATCAAAATGTTGTTCAGCAGACTTCTCTTCCACATAATGCTGATTCATCAACAAGCATTCATCCTACAATAGAGCATCAGAATTTTGTTCAGCAGATGGGTTTTTCTCATAATTTCGTTCAGCACAATCAATATGAACCAACGGCTGTGATTCAACCTCCAATGGAGCATAGGAATGTTGTTCGGCGTGATGAATATGGACCAATGGCAAGCATTCAACCGCAAATAGAGCAAAGGCATGCTGTTCAGCAGGCTTTTCTTCCACATAATGCTGATTCATCGACCAGCATTCATCCTACGATAGAGCATCAGAATTTGGTGCGGCAGACTACTTTTTCTCATAATTTTGTTCAGCACCCATATGGACCAATGGCTACAATTCAACCTCCAAGGGAGCATCAGAATGTTGTTCAGCATGATCAATATGGACCAGTAGCAAGCGTTCATCCTCCGACAGAGCAGAGGCATGTTGTTCCACAGGCTTCTCTTCCAAATAATGTTGATTCATCGGCAAGCATTTATCCAATGATAGAGCATCGGAATTTGGTTCAGCCAGCGGCTTTTTCTCATAATTTTGTTCAGCATAATCAATATGGATCAATGGCTGTGATTCAACATCCAATGGAGCATCAGAATGCTGTTCAGCATGATCAATATGGACCGTTGGCAAGCATTCATCCTCCAACAGAGCAGAGCAGGCCGTTCTTCCTCATAACATTGATTCACATTATGTAGCAGATACACATAACCCGTACTTGTATGGAAATCCTTCCCCGTCTTTGCAAGATCCATATGAAAGGTAAGGTAGTTTTTACTTCCTTATATAGTTTTTCCCTTATGATATATCTATTCTAATCTATGAATTAGCCAGCACAAAACTGCAGTAGAACTTTCGTAACGTCATCTTATTTAGACACCTGAATGTTGTAAGAGGCCTTTTGTTGTTGTGTGACTAAATATGTGTTTGAGTACCTTAGATAGTGATACAATCACTCTCTTGTTGATAAGAGGTGCAAGAGGATTATATGTCCCACTTAAGGAGGAATCAAATTATGTTCACGATGGAATAGAAGACTAAGATTAAGCATAGTGGAATCAACTCATGTTGGGGTTATTTTAATACTGTTTTTTAGGGTTGATGGCTTTAGTTTTAAATTGTTACCTTAGAGTCTTGCCTCAAGGTCCAATACCATGATTTTTCACTAATTTAAGAGGGAAACATATTAAACAAATAGAGTGAACAAGTATTGTTATTTTGTTTTTCCCAGAATCAAATTGCAGTTTGAATACCCTTAACTTTTATCTTGTAATCATTATTCTTAAATTTTGAAGGGTGATATGCCTAAGTTCTGAGTTATATTCAATTAGTTGAATCACCATATTTCTTTTTCTGCTTAGAATAGTAAAATTTACTAAAAAAATAAGTGAAATCAATTTTTCATGTGATTTGTCCAACCGAATTTATAAAATTGTCATATGTTTGATACATATCTTTGAGGTATTATTTCTTTTTTTTTTTTTTTTTTTTCCTAAAAAAGTCTTTAGATAAATTCTCACATGCCTCATGTGTGGCGGATGCCAAATTGACTAGGTATAGGTTTGAACGTGAGATGGTTACAAGGGATGCCATTGTTCAAAATGCAAGTCAATATGCAGTTCCTTCTGCTGATTATGTGCCCGAGAATAATGCGCAATATTTTCCAGCTACAGCCTCACATGTTACTTTATCATCACAAGCGTTGCCACCATCCCATGTGCCTCCTCTCCCTACCAATCACCAAGGGGAGCTTCCGGTGCCTCACGAACCTTATTACCCCGTACCAATGCACGTAAATCTGAGCCAGGCATATGGCAATCCTCTTCAAAGGTCACTGCCTGGAAGTTCTGAGTCAAATGTGCCAATCAGTTCTCATTGTTCTTTCTCTGGAGCTGCTCCAACTGACCACTGAAAAGAAAGTCAGAATATCTAACTGAGTTGGTATGGCTTGCTTATCCATTATTCACTCACACATACTGAAGTATCTCAATCTTCAATACATGTATACATTTTTATATTTATATATCTATGTCATATGGCATCTAAGAATTCTTGCTGGCAAATTATCTTTCTTGGCATTATGTATTGCATGTAAGAATGAGGGAATTGGTTTCCATCCCCCCGAAACAAAAGGGAGAAAAAAGAAGAATAGGGATGACAATTCTGATTCTCTCTAACTGTGGCTGCATTATAGTTACGAGAGCCTTTGCACCCTTGCTAAGTTTTCGTGCTATGTTTTTTTTCGATATGCAGACACCAAAGGCAGTGAGAAGTGTCTAACAATGTGGACCATGGCCTCATGATCCTAAGAAATGCATTTGAGACCATATTGCTTAGCTCATGATTTTAATTTTCTAGACATCTAGTTCTTGACATTTCAAAGATATATGTTTTTTCCCATGTGTCTACCTCCAACTTGGCCGCTGGCAATTTTTTAATGAGTAATTTGATAGTTTGATTGTAGCGTAAAATTGTGTTCATTACAGTGGTCTTGTTGTATAGGATTCAATAGTCTCGACGTTGCTTACGAAAACCAACGTGTTAAAAGAGGAAAGAGAAGGGGCGAGGAATGCTGGTAGAGCCAGAGAGAAGATACAGCATTGTATTGTTTTTCATAGAATGGTAGTAGACAAGCAGCAACAAGTCTTTCGGTGTTTAGATTGCATTTAAAGACTCTACATTACAATGCCTTTGGATTTTGGATCCTTAACTCCTCTATCATCACTCTTCACCCGCACTTAGCTTAGCTTCAGCAGCATGCATGTAAAGGTGTTTTTTGTTTTTTGTTTTTCCCTTTGCAGTTTAGTCTTTGAATCTACAAAATAGTAGCAATTATGTCTCCAACAGTTAATGGAGTTAACTTTTGAACGGCTATAGTTTTTTAATACTTGTATCCTTGATATTGTCTCGTAGTTTTACAGTTTCATCCTTGAAAATAAAAAAAAGCGATATACGTTTTGACAAATTGTTCTCTGAATTAGTCTTTAATTTTCCAAAATTTAGGGACTGAGTTATCAAGAAAGAAAAAACTAGGGATGAAAGTAAGAAACCACAAAACATTCAAGGTGTTCACAGGTAAGACCTGCCATGTATGTTTTCATCTTGTGGACCTCTTAGCCCAAACTAGTTGCTTTGGGCTGAAATTTCGTAACTCGTCATTTCATTTAGAGAGAAACAGGAAAATAGGTCCAGACTTAAGATGATTAAAATTATTAGGTCAATAGTTTACATAAGTTAATAAATAGGTCAAATTACTGTTTTCGTCCATAACTTGTATGGTTATGAATCATAACTTGATAAATTATTGTCCATAATTGTCCATAACTTGTCTGGTTATGAACCATAACTTGACAAGTTTGTCCTTAATTTATTTGGTCATGAACCATAACTTGATAAGTTATGGCCTATTAATTTCTATAACTAAAAATTGACTTATATACTTTCTTAAACTTTTCATATTAGCATATTTTCTACTATTTTCTTTTCATTTAATTAGAGGAAGGTAAAAAGAGGGGAACTTTTTAAAAATACCGAGCCCATTTTATTTCTAAGTGGACGTTTGGTTCATAGATTCAGAATCACGATTCAGAAGTATTCTCGATTTACGTATATTTTTTTGTAAGAAAAAATACTGTAACGAATTACGAACCATGATTCGAATTATGATACGAATTCACTAACCAAACGCTTCTTAAGTCTATCTATTTATACTTTTTAGACTATAACTAATTGAGGGGTAGAGTTTTTTAAAAGAGATTTTTAGTAAGTTGGGTACTAATTTTTTTAAAAATGAGATAAATATTTTTTAAAATATATGAGTCTAAATTTTTACTGATAATATAAAATACTAATATTTTAAAAAAAAGAGAATATTAGAGAAATTATCTTTAAATTAGCTTGTGAAGGTTAAAAAAATAGTCGGAAGTTCTTTTTCTCGTTTAGGAAAGTGACCATAATAGTGACGTCTTTGGGCCAAGTAAGTCAGCGACAAACTCGCAGCGAGGCCGGTTTCAAGGTCAGATTTCTGACCTTGCTCTGCAACTTGTCTATTTCATAGTCCATTATTGTCATATTAATTAATATAATAATTTTGAATTGTCTGATCTTCCATTCTTCACAACCTGAAGAAGATTTTTTATATTCAAACTAGCTAGTTATTTTTTGACCCGTATCCTACGTGCTTTACGTTGAAAATTAACTCTTGGACGGTGATTTTAAATTACGTGATTAAAATTATTTTTAATTTATATATATTTTTTATAAGAGAAAATATTATAACGAATTACGAATTATAATTCGAATCAGAAAATGAATTTAGGTACTAAATGGATTCTGATTTGCATGTCACAAATCTCCATTTAGAAGGTTAATTATAAAAAAAATCTCCATTTAGAAGGTTAGAACAGATCACCCTCTTTTATATAATATATATACATACCTACGTATTCTATAGCTAGCTAGGAACACATACCAATCACAAATTAGCAGACAAAGAAGAATTCCACATTGAAAAGATACAGCGGTATTAGTGAGGTTGAGGGAATTCTAAACCGTCAGATTACACAAGAATAGCAGGAAAAAAGAAAACAAAATAAATGGAATGACAAAAGTATTTTTATTTTTTTTTATTTTTTATATATGTGGAAGTAGAAATGATAGGAAGTTTCGCAAATTATGGGGTATGAGAAACCATCCGCACCAAATCCAAGGAAATAAATGTTGCATTTCTCAATCAGTTTCTCACTGCATGCTGGATCAAGACCAGAATTAAATTATTGTAGGTAATACTCAGTTTAAACCTGAAATTGTTAAGGGGATTTTTGGTTGATTATGTAAGTAGAGAGACTAATAAATATGCAAGAGGACCAGCTTTGTTCAAAGTTCACTTCAAATTGAATATGCTCACTGCTCAGGCCTTGAATATCAGTTCAAACCATATATAGCGATTATTGAACCACAATTTTTATATAGAATAAATACATATGATGATAATTAGGGGTAAAGGCTGAATGTCTCCGATCTCTACAGACTCACTAGAGTTCTTTTTTTTTTTTTTTAGTGGGGGGAAATAACAACTTATTGAGTCTTGGTATATATGTGCAAAAGGATTCTCTCTGGTTAATTTTTAACTTGATAATTCCCTAGATTAATGTTCTATTATTTTTCCTACCTCACAGATAATATAGAAAAAGATAATATATATATATATATATATATGCTGGCAACGATGACCATAGTTTCATTTTAATCCAACTCTAATTAATTCAACCCAACGCCAACGTGCCCATTCAATTTAAATATATATATATATATATATATATTTTATAAACTTTTCTTTTTCGTTAATTAATAATTACACATGATTTTCCATGAGGTTTTTCATTTTTTTTTATTTAAATTTGGCTTGGAAAAATTCAAACCCTCACTTCAATAATGAAATCAAAGTAATAGATTTACCGTTAACATATATATATCTCTCAGCCACATATTATCCATAAGATTTGTACAATGAATTTTATTCACGAACATCACCTTGATTTAATGAAGAATAGGAATATATAAACGACAACGGGGGATGTACCTATGTAGGAGGAGCTAGGAATATATGTAGACAATTAGTTGGTTACAAACATTCCCATATACAAATTCTTTTTACATGTATATATATACTAGGAAGTTTTAAAGTGAGATTGTGAGATAGATTTGGTATTGATTTGATAAAGATTGATGAAGGCAAGGGAAAAAGAGAGCAGAAGGGGCATGAGCACGCGTGAAGTGTACGTGTGTTTGAACTTTGAAGGTGACAAGGATCACATGTTCCATATGACGGCCAACCATCACACACACACACACACACACACACATATACATATATACATATATATATTATGGCATGTCCTCTCTTATCAATATATGAATGTTTCGTTAATTTGATATATATATATATATATATATTTATATATATGTGTTTTCTTCAATCTCTCTAAAAACACCGTGCCTCTAACGTAATATGCAGTTATGAAAACATAACCTGATAATTATTAAACGTAACATTAATGTTAGAGAAAAATAATATAATTTTTAAATGATTAAATTTTTTAGTGTTACTTTAGAGGAACCTCCTACCGGAAGGACCCATAAAAAACACATATATGCCCCCTCTGAGTCTCTACATATACACACATATATGTGTATATTACAACTCATTGCAGTCTAAACCCCTAACTCTAAATCACATTAAAATCAAATCACAATCAATAAATATATGTAAAATTGAGGGAATCTAATAAAAGATCTCACAGTTGAAAGCAGTACATGATATTAGGAAGTATTTTTTACTCTAGTACAGAATTCTCCAACCTTACAGACATGTTAAAAAATAAATAAAAATTATGCGCTAGGTAAAAACACTACTTTAAAATTTTGTAATTTTAAACTGTTAAACTTTCGTTAAATTCTGTTATATAATTTCGTATTTTTTTTATTTTGCTCTGATGTAATCTAAGGTTCCGTTCATTTCACCGATTCGAGTTTTATTACAGTAAGAAATTCTTAAAAATAGTCACATCAAATTTTTTTACTACAGACTCTCATATAAAATTGCATCTCAACTTAAGTTAAAAATTTAAATCAACGAACTAAACGGACCATAAAATTTAAAAATACGTATTTGCCGACACAAAAATTCTCACCACAAGAAGCTATCATATATTAGTTGTTAAGTTTTGTCACGGATTTGTGTGTGTATGTATGTATGTATGTATAAAGAAGAGTTAGCGGCAGCACATGTCAGAGAAATGATTCTTGACATGGACACTAGCTAGCTTAAGATAGGGAGTAATGCATGCATATTGACATGTTTATGGGGTTCCTCACAAAATGCCAACTTTTAGTCTTTTACCGTGGATACAAAGCAGGGGCGGACCGAAAGCAGATTTGCTTCTCTCTCAGTCGTTGGTTTCATATATACATACATACATTATATATATATATATATGCCTATCAATATTGTCGTTTTGAGAAAAGATTTGTGTGTCTATAAAAGTAGATGCTGAAATCTTGTCCCTATTCATTTGGACGTCAGTCTTTCTCTTGCTAACTATCTTTAGCCAGAGCTTCTAAGACGTATATATCAAATGCATATATAATATGTGTGTGTATTTGCACGAGAATTGATGAATATACTTACATGATCACATGAATATATATATATATATAATTAATTAAAAAAACCTGAGTGTTACTTATTGGCCGTTTTAATTCGTACTTCCACTTAAATAGTGATTACAAATAACATTTTTAATTAGTGATGCAATTTTAATATTCTATATATGTGTAGATTGCAAGCATATTCTAAGTACTGCTATTTATCACTATTAATAGGCATGTTCTAGTAGTAGAGAACTATTACCCATGACGAAAAGCTAATAAATAAATAAATAAAACAAAACTTATTTTGATATGTGACAATTTGAATATATTATTTTATTTATAGTGATAATATGCTAATAATGATAAAAATAGAATTTTTCTTCTGTGTTTGGTTAGAAGTTAGAACTAATACCGAGATTACAAAGACAAAGGCATAAACATAGGCGGACTTACTTGTTGCATACGTGTTTTGCAAGTCAAACATGTATATTTTCAACGGTCAGACAAATTAAGATGTTTCAGCAGGGGAAAAAAAATAAAAAAACTAATAAAAAAATAAGGAATTAAGAACCATATATACTACTACAACGCGGAGGTGAGATGCCATCTCTTAATTAACGACGATTATTGTTAGAAGTGCAATATAATTGCAGTGTTTGACTTCAAACTGACGATCCAATTATTTATATATATACACAAATAATTTAATGTTAGAGGTGGTCATGATCTACTGATCCTAATCCTCTCCAACACTATATTATATATAATTCCCAAAAGGACTAGTATTTCTCTCTCTGTTTTTTTGTTTTTTTTTTGTTATTTAATGGTGTGAATCCAGCCTTTAAAACTCAAGGGACGTCATCAGTTGCGCCATATCGCTTAATAGAGAAGTGTAAGAACAAAATATAGACCATATTAAAATTCATTTATTTATGTTCCTGATCCATAGTGGAATAATGGTTATGCCATGCAAAAAAGTGTAAACTAATAACTTCATTGATAGCCACATCCATCCATGGATGTCCTCTAGCTATGGTAAATATTACAACCTTTAAAAAGGTTAAAACAAGGAGGGAAAAAAAAAAGTTGACTTAATTTGCACCACTTGTTTAAGGAATAGTTACGTACACAAAAGTAAAGTGAGATTTGATTCTTTTATTTTTACTAGTTGAGCCACCACGTGTAAAATAATTTTATAAGTTTGATATCTGTTGAAAATATGTAGTCTTCTTAGAAGTTAAGTTCATTAGTTCGAGTAAAATAAAAGAAAAATTTTTTAATAAAAAAATAAAAGAACAAAAACATTTTAAATAATAATAATAATAATAATAATAGAAAAGAAAAGAAATGAGGGAGAAGGGGTGGGAGAGGGCCTGGGTAGTACTGTAAGAAAAAATATGTGTAAAGATAACTTTTGATAGAACAAAAATTATACATAAAATAATTAATCATTGATAAAAACAAAATTAAATAGAAACATATACAAAAGAAATTATTTTTATAAAAATAAAGTGAGCAAAAATTATTTTTAAATATTTCACATAAAAAATTAAAATATAAAAATATCACAAAATAAAAAAATAGAAAAAAAAACATTTAAAAGATAAAAAAAGTAAATTAAGTGAAAAAAAAATGAGAGACCGTCACGTGACAACTTAAGAAAAAAAATACTATTATAAGAATTTTTAATTTTTTTATATATTGTTAAAATATATTACCGTTTTTCTTTATTAACACATATGTGATCATGAATATTGATGAAAAACAATGCGATTAAAAAAAATATCTTAATCGAGACATGTATCCTTGATTAAATGTATACTTTATTTTTGTTCTTTTTGTTTGAAAAGGAAGAAAGAGAATATAAGATAGATTAAAAAAAAGATAAAAGCCAAAAAGAAAAGAAAAGAAAGAAACATCACTCTCATATATACTAGAACCTATTTGATTGAAAAAAAAAAAAAAGTAAATAAATTTTATAAAAAATACAGTAGTTTAAATCTATGAAACAAATGCCTGACTAATTTGTTGAGATTATTATTGTAGATAAAGTTGGAGGAAGGAATATATAAGGCAATTATAAAAGCCCTTAGGAATATATAAGGCAATTATAAAAGCCCTTGAACTACACCTAACCCTATTTTTCCCTTTTTTCTGGTGCTTCCCTTTTAGCTCACCCGTTTCTTCAAGCACACTAGCTAGCTAGAGCAGCTCATCTTAAGAATCGTTCCATATTCATGGTTGGTGTTTTAATCTGAAGCACTAGTATACTAGTACTAAGGGAAACTAGCAAATCTCCACACAAGATATATACATATATAGCTAGATAATAAGCCAAAAAAAAAGGCACATTAAATCAAAAGCTCAAATAAAAAAGAAAGGTGGATCGGAGGCATGGCAAGCGGCCACTTCCTTCAGAAGCATCGGAGGAGAAAGAGATCATCAAAGAAGATGATGATCATCAGCAGAATCAGTATCAGTATCAACATCATCATTATCATGGTTATGATCTGCAACCTTCTAATTGGTCCCACAGTACCGGCTTCTTATCGGCTATGGTTGATTCTGATCTCACTCATCAACATGGCCATATTAGTCCAATATCGACTAATCTGGTGCAATCTACTTCTCCTTCACCCAATATCTCTGATTCTACTAAAATTAATGTCAAACAAGAAGCTGCTCAAGATCCATCTCAACCGCCTTCTCGAGATCAAGGTACTAACAAACAAACTTTTATATATACCTAAATTAATTAATTTATGTTTTAGCTAGAGGTTGATTTTATTATATATAACCTCTCCTTTTGATCCCCTTAACTTTTCGAATTTACTGGGTTTAGGAGGTTTTTTTCGTCTTTTTTAGGGGGGGGCAAAAAAAAATCAAGGGGCAATTAAGGGAATTTTAAGTAATCTAGAGTCTTCTAGATCTTAATATTAGAGGTTGGTGTAAATTTACAACTACAGTGTACTAACTATGAGTGCTTAATTGCATTCTTGGTAAGATTAAACTGATTCTTTGCTTATTTTTCCTTACTATTCAGCTTCTTAAATGCATTTTCTAATTTGTCCAGATGCATTTCCATCTTGATCTCTTTCTCCGAGAAGATCACAATAGATTTATATGTCGTCCTAACTATATATATATATATAATGTATAATCTATATATTCAGCCTTGTGTATATATTCATGTAGGTGCTGAGTAGATGCGGTAGTATGACTATCAAATATCTATCTAGTGCATAAAAACAAGGAGTTGATCTGGGGTCAAAGTGTCTGATCTAGCATGTTTACACTTATTAGACAAGTTCAATGTATCAAGAATTTCCTTTCCGTAAAGAGCTTTCTCTTTTCTGGTGCAAAAAAAGACGGAAAAAAAAAATAATGTGTTTGTTTATAGTAATTAACTTAAGAACATCTTTTTTCTTTTTCCCCAATCCTCTCAAAACAACACATCATGCACCTCTTATGTTTTTTACTTGTTTTGATATTACATAAAAAAAAAAAAAGTGGTTTATTTAGAGAGATCAGTCAATATATATATGTGTGTGTGTGTGCGCGCTGTCAGATTAGCTTTGCATAATAAAATACGATTGTAGTACTAGTTTTGCAGAATAAAGAGTTCACTTCCGTGAGTTCCCATCCAACTATAATTCCATCCTTCCCCGTCTTTGACCTTTGGCTTTTGCCCTTTAGTCTACTTTTGCTCTTTTTCTTTCTAATAATTGTAAATATATTGCATTGTGGATAGAAACACACACACGCTTGCCCAACCAATTATTCAATCCTGAAAACGACAACTCCACTTGTTGGAAGGTCGTTCAAACCTTTCTTTTCTCAAAATCTATACATATACATTTATGCATGTTCTATACATTTACACAAACACACACACACACACACACACATATATATATATATATATATATAGTTTTATAAATATGCAGGACTTGAACACGCTAGAGTTTACAAACCTTCCTTCTCTGAACTCCTTAATTCATTCCCTCCTATCATATATTGTATGCTTGTATGTGTGTGTGTGTGTGTCTATATAGAATATATATGGAAAACATGGGGTCCCTAACGCTTTTTATTTGTTTTCAAGTAATCCTTTCAAATGTGATACATATTCAAGCTCAAATTTATTGAGATTTGATGCTAAAAGTTTTACCAAACACGTTATATGACATTGAATGTTAATGTTTGATTCAAAATTGAGGGAGTGAAGTCTTTTTGCGCATTCAAATTTTCTCTTGTCTAATTTTATGTGCTAATTAATTATATATCATACCTGTCCCTTCACAATAGGTCTTAGCTAGTGCATGGCAAGTAGTACATGGAAGAGGCGTGTGTGCATGTATCTCTTGTCCCCCCCCATTAATATTCCCACACATGTGAAGCTCTCACATGCATACTGCACACGCACGTGTATATATACGTGTTTGTGTAAATGCATTTTATGCACTAATTTATTTTTGTATTATATGTGACAATTACATTTCTTGTAAAAAAGAAGGAGCTTTTTAATCCAATGTATGTGAGTGAAACTGGCGCATTATATAGAAAAACGTATAATTGGAATGTAGCTCATGATTTTTCTCTAGTATATACATACATATATATTCAATAAAATTATATATTTCATATGAAAACATATAATTGGAATGTAACTCATGATTAGATTCTTTCAATGATAATGTTGTCTAAATTAATTTGTGAAGGGAATGTGAGAAGACGGCACTATAGGGGAGTAAGACAAAGACCATGGGGAAAATGGGCAGCAGAAATACGTGATCCTAAAAAAGCAGCGAGGGTTTGGCTTGGCACTTTTGACACAGCTGAGGATGCTGCTCTTGCCTATGACAAAGCAGCTCTAAAATTCAAAGGCACCAAAGCTAAGCTTAATTTTCCGGAACGAGTTCAAGGCAAGCCTAATACGGCCGACTATGCCTATCTCACGGAAGGTGGCGGTAGTACTACTACTACTAGAGGTGACATAGTCGTTCAGTCTCCTCATCAACAAGAACAAAACCGTGCGGGCTCAGTACAACAAATTAATTTTCCTTGTGATCCAGCTCTACCTCTTCCTTATCCTACTAGTGCTTTTCCTAATCCATGGCCATCTGAAGCTACTACTTTCCCGGACCTCTACCATTACGCACAACTTCTATCAAGCAATGATGATCATGAGTTGGATTACCACTCTTCCAATCTTTTTAATCAATCACCTCCCATTAATATTGCTCCCAATGATCACTACTTTTCTTCTTCCTCCTCATTTTTGTCATCTTCATCTTCCTCTGATCATCAATATCCCCAACCCCCCAAACGAGAAGACCATCATGGCAAAGACGACTTTGATGGTACGAGCTAGCCATATGTAGCTCTACTTATAATTCAATCACCCATGTGTTTGTTACAATATTAATTATATATGTCATACTACTATTGTGTATTTTGCTGTTGAAATTTTCCATTTGTTTGAACAAGTTGTTTAAAAGTATATTGGATTAATTTGGCGACATTTAATATTATTCTCGAGCAATTTTGTGATCATATATATCTTTTTAAAAATTCATTATCTGATCATATTCATGTACATATGGTAGTCTATCACGCAATTAGAACAAACATGCATATCGTCGTCATGCGGTTGGTACGATGATAATTCCACAACTATCTTTATAAGGTTTTAGAGTTTAAAACTATGATCGTCCAAAATTTGCTATGTATATCATTCAGAAGCCACATTAAAATTGGTACGGCGATAATTCCACAACCATCTTTATAAGGTTTTAGAGTTCAAAACTATAATCGTCCAAAATTCGCTATGTATATCATTTAGAAGCCACATTAAAATTTAAAGTGAATATCGTTTGTTCATGTTAGCTTATTCTAAAGCCACCTTGATAGGGATGTACCTTTTTTAAAAAAAATTTGGATGATCATGGTTTTGAACTCTATCTATGAAGGTGGTTTTATTTCCCTTTCAATAATAATAATAATAATAATAATAATACTAATAATTTTTTATAAAAGCTATTCATGTTTGATGTTTTTGCATTACATGCATGACACATGTTGTAAAGTGACATCTTTCTTGGAATAGATCTCAATTAACTGAGAACGTGGGGAAAGTGATATCTTCATAACTCTTTTTTTTTTTTTTTTTAATTCTATTTTTTGGAAAACTATATCTTCTCACTTGATCATTATTGTCAACCTTTTGATCCAAGGTAGGTGGTCGGTCTTCTCATTTTAACAATATTCATGGAGCAAAGCATAACCAAATGCGCATGTCCTTAAATAGAACTTACCTTTGTTGTCTCTATCCAACTTTAATTGGTGATACTACTCCATAAATAGATAATATTATTATTGTGGCCCTATTATACCTTCACTTGTGAAAGGCCAATATGTCGGATAGTACTTGTGAGTTTTCCAAATGCAATATCCATGTCATTAATCAAACCACTTTGTGATCGACCATGAAATTCCTACAAGGATGATGCATACCACAAAATAGAAAAGAGTACAATATATATACTAATATTTTAAGTACTTATTCTGATAGCGTTGTTGACAAAGACAGGCTTAAGGTTATTACGGCTTGACCCACGACAGTCCAAACTCCATTTCTTTTCTATTTTTCGAGTAAGAGCGTGTCCAAGTACTAAGCATCTTCTTTTACATTGTAATGTCTATCACAAGTTGGAATTAAACTAAAATGATCAAGAGAATATTGATTAAGAGAATTAATTAGTTGAGGGTTAAAGCTGGATAGGCTGAAAAATTCACTTGTTTAGCAAGATCATATATGTCATGTCTAAAATCTCTCATGTATATCTTTGAGAAACTGAAATCCAATCAAATGGTCCGCTTTTTGGTGCCGTCACTTCAAATCAAAGAGGGAAATTTTTTATTGGATTTTTGGACTTCTGCTAATTCCATCAAATCAATTGGCTCTCTCTCACAAGAAAAATACTGAAATTATCACTTCTGTTATTCATCATCATCCGTTATGTATCGCGATATTTATGCATGGAAAAAAAGAAAGAAAATTATATATATATATATATATCACACTCTTAAGTTTTAATATACTAGTCACTTTCAAAAAATATATATTCCTAGTCATTAATACATCACAACATTAATAAATAGTATTTTTCGACTTTAGTATATCTTTGAAGGAAATTATGGCTAACTCCACCTTACTTTTTCATTTTTTTTCCCTTTAATTCTTCTACATACCGCTATCTATGAACTTTAAGAAGAAAGACAATAGCCTAGGAGTAAATTAAAAGTTCATTCAAGAAAATAGAAAACTTTGAAGTGGAAAACCTTACGTCGCCGTAGTACATAAATCTTAGACATCATAAAGTGTATTAAAAAAGAAGAGAAAAGAAAAATAATAGATCGTATTAAGTAATGCGAAATGCTTAGTGGAACGATAATCTATCAAACTTTTAGAAGTGCATGCATAGGTTAACTTTTCGATGCAGAAATCATGGTATCTCATCATGTGATCACTCTTTATAATAATTACATGTTTTAGAAGTGGACAATCCAATAGTAATTTGAGACGACAGAATCGTTTTTTAGATTTAACTGGATTGGATATCTATGGCTCCACACTCCTTTTTGGAGCGGAGAAATGTTAATTACATTTTTTTTATTACTTTTTTATTATTATTTTTATTTATTATTTAACACATAAATTCTATTAACATAATATATTATTATTTATATAAAAAATAAAATAATAGAGTTGACATGTTAAACAGTAAGTAAGTAGAGAGAAGAACGAAAAGTATTTTTATAGTTTAAGATAAGGAATGATGAAAATACATATTGATATTTTCTGAAGATATGAATACTTTAGTTTAAAGATACTTCCATACATGTATTGAAAATATCTATTTTAAAGAGATTTTTTCGGTAGGATTTAGAAAATTTAATGCTGCTAGGTCTCTGTTTTTTAATTAAAAATTGTCTTTGATAACTTTTCCTTTTTAAAATCGTGAAAATCTATATTGTTGTTTTTGTTAATTTGAATTACAATTCAATCTGTTTTATATAGTATTTTTTTTCTCATAAAAATTAAAAATGCCCACGAAAAAAACAAAATAATAAGTCCCACTTGTACTATTTTCCCTTCTAGTTAATTCACTTGTTGTTTTTTTCTCCTACTGAACAACCTCAACTTTTCAACTCTTCTCTTTCAAAATCTCTTCACATTCTTTCTTGTACCAACTTTTCACCGTTGCCAAACATAGTGTAAAGGTTATGCACTAAGAAGGATTACGCATGCTGAATCTGTAGTGGGGCTTTTGGCCACTTGTTCTACAAAGTAAGCTTAACTGGGACACCAACAAGTCGTCATAAGCTCAAGAAAGATGAGCACAACCAAACCAAACCAAACAAAACAATAAAATTAAAATAAAAAGATCAAAAGGGTGTCGTGTGTGCGTGTAACTGTGTTTCACTTTCAATGAACAGAGCAAAGGACGAGAAAACGACAAAGAAACAAAAGGCACCAAGAGAGGAAGAAACTTCCCTTGCTTGGCTTTTGGACATTTTGGTTGTATATTTTGATTCTCTTCTACTTCTCTGATAAAATGGGACTCTGGTCTCGCGTGACGTGAGTCCTTTGACACGCTTTTCAAGGCAAGAGCATGGGATTTTTCCATTTCGAGACTTCTTTTTTTTAAAAAAAATAATTAAAATTATGAGAATGCATGTAACTAGCCATGATGATTGGTGGGACCCACTTGTCCTGATTAAAGAGTAGGACAAAGAGTTTTAGGCGCATGGGATTTTTTATTTTTTGGTTTTCTGCTTTCGGCTTCCCTAAATGTCAAATTTTGCGGCTGATGAGTCATCATCAACCCAACCCCATTCCTTTCTGCGAGTGTTCGGATGCCTAATTATTATTATTTTTTATTATTACAGGAGAGCTGTTATGACTTATGATAGGACTAAATAGAAAATGTATTATTGATAATTTTTTTATTTTTAATTATTAAATTTATATTAAAAATTATTTATTATATATTTTTTAATTTAATGTGATTTTAAATTAATTTAAAAATTAAAAATTAACACTATTAATAAGAATAACTTATCAAAAAAATTCTTTTATTACGATAAATATTCATGCATTTATCAAAGTACAAGAGACGTTTAGTTCATAAATTAGAATCATGTGATTAAAATTATTTTTTATTTATGTGTATTTTTTATGAGAAAAAACACTGTAATAAATCATGAACTATGATTCAAATCATAGTTTAAATCCTCTAACTAAACGTTCCTAAATAACGATGACTTTTTTAAATCCAAAGACAATTCTCCAAATTATACTTCCAACAAATCGAACCTCACATTAGTGCATTAAGCTGTTACACAATAAAGTGGAATTCATAGTGCATTAAAACTATTACATAATAAAGTGGATTTCATGTTTTTTTTGCAATTTTTTATTATGTAATAATTATTTTGAGAGGGTACAAAACTAAAGAGGTGAAGTAAAGAGTGGCACACTCTCTAAGATTTCATTCATTTTATCGATTTAAATTTTCAGTTTTAAATTTTTACAGTAAAAAATTTTTAAAAAATGTCACATCTAACTTTTTATAGTTATAGGAAAAAGCTCTCAAAAAATATCATATCTTAACTCGAATTAAAAACTCAAATTCGCGAAGTGAACAAGGTCTAAATGTCTCTTATTTTCAAGAAATTAGGAGAAATCATTTTAAATTAAAAGTGATTGGACCCAACGTTAAGTGAAAAGGGAAGCGGGGATTGAGGAGAATTGAGAAAATTGTAAGATTTATTTTTAAAAATACATAAGTTAAATTTTTACCTTCATTTTTTATTAATGTTCTTTTATTAGTATAATTATTTAATTAAAAAAATTATTAATTAAAAATAAAAGATAAAAATTATGATCCATATAATCGTTTCATTTCTCCTCAAGGATCCAATTAGGTTTGACTTGCCTGGTGGGTTGAATTACATGGGCCTCACTTGTGTTGGGTTCAAACAACTAACTAATTGGGCTACGGCCCAAAAGAGTCAGCTTCGAGCCACCGAATGGATTTTTTTTTTTTTTTTGTTGGGGTTGGGGTACAATTTGACAAATGATGCATCATCACGTGTGTGGTTGGTAGTGAAGCAAAGTAAGTGAGGATTCTAGATTGTTTTTTTCTCAAGTTTAACGCAACTTGTTTCTTGGTTCCGTAAAAGACAGAGAGTTAATAGGAGCAGATAATAGGTTTATGGTTGAAGAAGTGAGTACTGTGGAGTTTGTTTGTTAATCAATAGGTGAAGTCGTAGAGAGAGAGAGAGAGAGAGAGAGAGAGAGTTGTGTTACTGTTTAATAATTAATTAATATTTTGTTATTAAAAAAAAGGGCAATGGCGGCGGCGGCGGCGGCGTCAGGAGTAGCGGTATTGGCAACGGTCGTGTGTTGTGATCACAACAAACACAGACCCACAACTTCCCCAACTCCAAGTCTAAGGTTGTCGGATTATTCCAAGCCTTTCCACAAATCCCGCAACTATTATTATTGTTATAATCCTAACATTCAATTTCCAACAACTACAAGTAATTCTACTACAACTAGTAGTAGTCGAAGTGGATCATATTCATCAACCAGAAGCAGAAGCAGAAGCAGAAGCAAGTTCAAATGCAAGGCTGTCGGAGATAGCTCTGTTTATCAAGGAATGTACGGTCCTTGGACCGTCGATCCCTCCGATGTTCGAGAGGCACGTTTCTCTTTTTCTCTTTCCATATATGCATGTTTCTCAAATTATTCGATTTTCCTTTTTCTTTTATTAGTTGGAATTAGTTAGTTCTAAGTTGTCTTGCTAAAAAATTTTAAGAAAAGATTACACCAAAACATTGAAATTAGAAGAGCTCTCTTATAGTTATTTGGAGGAAATGCAAAAACAATATCTAAGGCAGCGTTTATACATCAATATTAATTAAATCTAAGCCTAAGAGTATTTTATTATTTATATTTATTTGCAGTTGATCATATCGTTAAATCAATATATCGAAAACCAAACGAGTGGAATCATATTTTGAATATATCCAACCTTGCATTGTCTAAGCAATTATAATTTTGTATCGATATTTTTCTTTGAAGAATCCGACCTTATTATTAGCTATTTTTCAATTTTTTTTTCTAGTTATATCAGTTTTTATTATTTGTAGGTGATATTATACAGATCAGGACTAGTTACAGCGGCTGCCTCATTTGTGGCTGCAGCATCAGCCGCTTTCTTGCCAGATAACTTGAGAGGGTTAATAGAGCAGAATCTCGACTTGTTATACGTGATTGGAGGGGGTGGATTGGGTTTGTCATTGGTCTTGATCCACATATATGTCACTGAAATCAAGCGGACGCTTCAAGCGTTGTGGGCGCTTGGGGTGGTCGGGTCCGCCGTGACCTACACGAGCTTGGCTGCACCGTCTGGGCAGGGGCTGGTCCAATACGTTGTGGATAACCCGACCGCCATCTGGTTTGTCGGTCCTCTGTTTGCAGCGCTCACCGGTCTTGTCTTCAAGGAAGGTAAAAAATGTGCTACTATTCCTACTATGTGGTGATTGCATCATCAATGATGGTGATCAATGATGGTGTTAAGTAGTAATTTTCATTCATATTTGTTATGTCTACTATGTTTGTTCCAAATACGAATCCCTTCCTTCTTTCATTATATTTTCTTTCATTATATATCTATGAATTTCTTTTTAAAACATTATGAAAACAGGTCTTTGTTATGGAAAACTTGAAGCTGGAATTCTCACTTTCATAATACCCGCTGTTCTTCTTGGCCACCTGGTATTCTTCTTGCCTCTCCTTCAACCTAGTTTTTACAATGCTGTTTTATAGTTAATTGCCAACAGAACTCATGTACCATTTTAAGTTTTAAGAATTTTCTTTTTTTAGCTTGTTCAAATATAGCAATCTTAAATTTTGACGAGCTTGGTTTGACACGCAGAGTGGTTTGATGGATGATGGGGTAAAACTTGCTCTGCTTGGTTCGTGGATGGCACTTTTCGTGATATTCGCCGGAAGGAAGTTTTCTCAGCCCATTAAGGTAAGTCTCTTTTAAGTTCGAACTGAGCAAGATTTGAGCTAATGAAATTCATTTAAATTAGTGTTCAATACAGAGCCTTGATTTAAGACTTACAAACTTGTATTTTCTTCCCAGGATGACATTGGTGACAAGTCCGTCTTCATGTTCAATTCTCTCCCGGAAGATGAAAAAAAGGCGTTGATTGGGAAGCTTGAGCAGCAAAAGTTAGGCCAGAATCTTGATTAGAAAGGAACGTGACAAAAATTACTTAACAAGGTAGATAGGAACTTGAAGTAGCTAGATGAAATTTTCGTTGTGCAATATTTCATCACCAAATAATAATAATAATAATAAAAAAGCATCATCGCTTTTTCCAAAATGCATCGAAGTTTTTCCCCACTATCTAAATCACAAAACAATGTTCTTTGGCTGCAAACTCCAGCACCTGGCCGTTCCAATCAAAAAGAGGAAACTAAGAAAATATATAGAAGACAGTTTTGCAAATGTTCTAAAACTTGCTGAGTCTGTTTAACTTTGCGCTCTTTTGGGTTTTCTTCAGGCTTCATAGTACTGTCTGTGTTCTCATCTTTAGAACCATTATGCTGCTCAAGCGATACCTTGTCATCTGAGTTTGGACCTGCATTGAGGTTTCACAGAATTCCCTGTTTTGTCACCGTTAGATTTGGTGCCATTCTGCAGATCAACGGATGCCTTGACATCCAATTTAGTGTCAGAATTGGAATTAACAGTAGTGTCAGAATCCACAGTGTTGTTCTCTTTGGCTTCCTCCTCCCTATTTTCAGTACAACTTGCTTCATCATCATCACTCATTCCAGGCTTTGAAGTCTCGCCATTCTCTTCAGACTCCATTTCCTTTTGCTTGAGTGATTCAATGATACTCGTCAATTCTCTATTAACCTGTCACGGAAACACAGAATCAGATTAAGTAGACACTTGTACATCTTCCCAACAAAATGCTCAACAGAGAACTCTACTATTCCTATTTTCAATCTCTCTTGCAAATCACTTCTCTTTTTTTTTTTGTTCCATACCAAACAGTAGGAAAAAAACACAAATCATTTCTACCACAGATATTTGGGATCCGCAAGAATAAGTTTATGTTCAGCATCCACCAACTCCGGGCTTCTCTTTTCAAAATCTCTTGTACTTTTTCTCTTTTTTGTCCTTACTAATAGGGTGTAAAGATCAGTTGTCATACCTGAGGATTCTGAAGAAACTCAGCTATGTCGTTTGTGCAGGATGTGTGCGGACATTTCATAACATTCTTCTGGGTTCGCAAGGTTCTTCTGCCTTCACAATTCCTGTGTCTCAAAAGAGTTTGACCAGCAAATGCACCCTCTAGACAAGCTTTGCAGAAGTTATGAGCACATGGGGTTGTAATTGGAAGAGTCATCACCTTCCGACAAATATTACAGCTAAACTCTGCAAATCCCACAATTTGTTTTGTAAGAACATTACTACGGCAATGTGGTGTTGGAGAAAGGGGGAATAATGCAGACCACAAAAGAATAAATGCAGGTTAAAAATATAGAATATGTTAGAATACTACTATACCTTTTAAGAGCCGTTCTCTGACGGTATTATTCTGTTTGCAACGTTTGAATTTCCTCCTTTCCTCTCCAACATTCACCAAATCATCAGTATTCACCCGTTTTTTGCTGGGGGGTGGAGGCTTCTTCCACAACCAACGACCCTTTTCCTCCTGGAAAGCATGATAGGAGTTGGTACATGTTAGAACATTTTGAACTATTAACTCACTTCAAGCTGAGATCTTCGACAAGAAAAGAAAAGAAAAAGATAATTGTTTGAATTGAAACAGCATTAACTTACATCATAGTCCCAGGCAGGAGATTCCTTTCTCTCAGTCAGATCAACTGCTCTATTCAACTCCGGAATAGCTGGCAATGGCCTGGGAAGATCCCCGTGCTCATTGCTGCATAAAGATTTACCAAAGAATTAGGTCCAATAGATTGAGAGGGTTACACAAAGAGAGATATATGACTTTGAGCAGACCTTGTCCATGGAGCTGGCTCATTGTCACATCTAACAAAAAGATACCTGCAAACCTTATAACCCTAAAACCATATAAAAAGAAAACTGTCAGTACACATAGAAAGCAAAGCCGTAGCCTAACTGAATGTTTAACTGTTTTCATTGTTATCCTATGCATTTTTATCTTACTTGATTTCCATTTTTGCGCCAGCATTTCTCAATTCTGTAAACTCCGTCATAACGGACTCCAGTTTCTGGGGCATAAGCTGAGCGCTTCTCCTTGTGAGACCTGCAAAAAAAAAAAAAAAAAAAAGAAAAAAGAAAGAAAGAAAGATGAGAGAAGAAACCTTTGCCCTACAGAAGGGTCGTGACAGATATTTACAGAATATATCTCTGTATCTGCAAAAATGGTGAATGCAGGAAAGAAACTCAAGCAGGAATAGCTCATTCTCATTGTCTAACCTCTATAGTCAGTACTGCATTTTATATTAATAGTACCATATTAATTAAACAAACTATTTTTAGTGTTACCTGACAACTCGAACAGGGTAACCTTTCCGGCAACTAACACGCAATGCTTCATTCAACTTTTCAAACTTCTGGTCAAAAGAATGTGTAGCATTTGTGCGTTTATTGCCACTGAGGTCTCTCCCACCGCTGGCAATTACAAATCAGAAAATGGTAATTAGACGCCATAACGTTGGAGGAAAAATAAAACACCTCTCTCCCAAACGACAGCGAGAGCGAGAGGAGGAAAGAGTCTAAGACAACAAGGGCAGGAGCAAATAATCAATATGAGAAATAAGGCATTAGCACAAAATCAAACAACAAATAGGCATCATTTTCTGATTGAAAACAAAAACCATAATACAATTAAGGATTTAGGTTGTACAATATGGTAATCAGTGTATGCTACTAATCAAACCAAAGACATTCATCAGATAACATGGCAAAAGATGAGACAAAATAATCTAAGCATTACCATACCTGCCAGTATAAAGGAACCACTCGCCGTGATCCTCATCATCTTCATAACCTCCAGAAAGTGTCACTGATTGGGCACCATAACCTGACTGGCCAGCAATCCCAGAAACATGAGGAAAATGGGTCCCCCATTGTCTGCATTCCATCCTATCTTCCCATGATTCCCCAACCAACACTCCCTGATTTCTTGTTGGATCATTTTCAGCAAGAATGGGGCCAAAGTGATCAGGAGCGACTGTGACAAAGATCTTTCCAGAGCAAGCATTGGCCTTTCCGGACTTTTTTGCACGCTCGGTCGTGAAGCATTTGTCTGGGCGGTTCTGGTTGTGAACAAAATGATAAACTTTGGGTTGTCCCACCTGGGCGTTGGATTTGGAGATCTTAGCCATTCGGATGGCCATGACAAGTGCCGAGTTGATGCGAGGATTGCGCATCACCCTTGGTGGAATTGAGTTGCGGCAATTTGCGCATGTGTGCTTCCCCTGCCCAACCCATTTCTCGAAGCACTTGAGGCAGAAGTTGTGCCCACAAGGTGTCTGAAACCACAAAGCAAGAAAGACACAAATAGTCAGAAATGAATTAAAATAAAATTCATGCAACATTTGAAAACCTCCTGTTGAAATTCTGATACAGGAGTAATCAGAAATCACCCTTGCATTTCATTTCCATATAAAAGACACGGAATCAATGATAAAAGCGAACTATGTGAAAAAGAAAATGGCAAGACAAATTATATGGGTGAGCAGTAATCTAATCAGCACTGAGAACAAACGATATTGTTTTCTACCTTTCTCATTTTTATTCATTTAAAGATTTAAAGATTCTTCGTAGTGCCCAGAACGTGTCTGAATCGACAAAGAAGAAATAACAAGTAAAACATAAAAGGAAATGGAAACAATGCAAGCAATATTGCACTAAACTCTTAGGCATTGTCTGGTAGGGAGGATAAAAGTGGAAAGAGGCATTGGGGTGTGAGGATAAGTGAATAGATTTGAAGATTTATACTTGTTTGGATTCAAAATCCTCCACATAACTCCAACTTTGATCCTTCCAAAATTAGAAACATCGGAGGAAATAATCATAAAAACATAATAAGAAAGGGATTGTTTGTCTCCTCCATTTTCCTCACCTCCTTGTGTATTACATCCTTGATATGGATTAAACAGTAATCAGTATCACCCAAAACCCTGAACATCTAAAAGGAACAGGATCAGCCATGACGCAAAGGAAAATGCCAAGACATAATGAACGGCCTTGTTTGGTACTCTATTTTTTTCTCCTTTTAACCAATCTACTCAAGACTAGGGAAAAATCAATGAAAAATGCAAAAGAATCCAAAACACGCAATCCAAGGAAAGCCTAGGATTACTACTCTGTTCACTCTCGGCTTTTGAAATTTTCGTCAATCGATTGGATTCTTTCGAAAAAGGAGGACCAGCAGATAAAGGATTTTTATGCTGCTTTTTTGTTCTTTTCCCAGGAAAACAACAGAAAAATTGAAACTTTGCCACGATTGGGCCCGATTCCGTAACGTAATGCCTTATTATCGAAACCCAAACCCAGACGAATAGTGTGGGGTAAAAAAAAAACGATTTTCTGTCTATTTCTTTTCCAGGAAAATGACAGAAAATTGAAATTTTGCCGCGATTGGGCACGATTTTAGTAAAGCAAAAGCAGACGAAGAGCGAAAAACTAAAAGGAAAAGAAAAAAAATAACCGATTATTCACATTACCGTAACAGGCCTCTCCGGAAGCTGCATGCAAATCGAGCAGTTGAGATTGCCGCCGAGAAGATCGAGGAGCTCGTTACCGGCATTGGCATCGGAACCACCACTGCCATCGGAAGAAGGAGGCTTAGCGTCACCATCGCCGTCGCGGTCGCACTTGCACATGAGCTCCTGGCGTCGCTCGGCCTTCTGGCGCTCAGTGAGGGAGGAGTCGGACTCGATCGCGCGGATGGCGGCGATCAAGTCGGAAGTCGACTGGTCAGCGGTTACTGCGGCGGAGGAAGGAAGAGAGTAGAGAGAGGAGCAGTCAGGGCAGGTCCACTTCACAGCGTCGCCCATGGATTCCGGGGGACGAGAAAGGCAAGGGACGTGCCAGGGGGTGGCGCAGGTGTTGCAGGTGAGAGTCTCGTTGGCCATGGAAGACGGCTTCACCTTGCACACCATGCAAACGCCGTCGCCGTCGCAGGGGAGGTCGCTGTTGCTAACCTGCGCCGCCATTGGGTGATCGTGGCGTAGGATAAGGAATATGAAGAGTTTTTCTTTTTCCTTTTTTTTTTTTAAGTCTCTGACTCAAGAGAGGGCGAGAGAGAGAGAGGAGAGGGCGAGAGAGAAAGAGATAGGGGTTGACGAAGGGAAATGGTATTTTTGTAATGCTATTTGTAGGGTTTGGATTGGGCGGGCCATTTTGAAATGCGACTTTGTTGCGCGTGATTTTCGAAAAAAATTTGGGCAGATTTTTTTTCCCTCTCATTCTTTCGTCTTCTCTCTCTTGGGTCCCTTTTTGGTAAAGTTTTGTTTGAGCGAGGCCAATTTGCAAATATGCAATCCAGCTGTTACTTGTGGGACCCCACGTATGTGTATTTTCCCAATTGGTGGTGATGATCGAGGCATGCTCGTTCCCCCAAATCCCGTAATGCCTTATTTAGTGGGGTCGTCATGTTAACTAATTAAATATTAATCAAAAATAAATGCTAGAGCTAAGCACTAATTATAGATTCATTGTATTGTATGTTTACCTACACGTAATCAGAATAAACATGAATTAGAGTGAGCAAGATTTAGAGTGAAAAATCAGAGTCAGAATAAGCTGTTTACTTGGTGATAGGATTCGAAATTGGAGTCATTTCAAATCTCATTAATACGTTTACTTACACCCAAACTCGGAATGAAAAAATGTAAAAATATTAATATACCCTTTAAATCAATTTGATATTTTCAATTTAAAAAATATATTGTGTACTTATTATATTAAAATTAATCATAATTAAAATATTTAGTGTAATAATTGAGTACTAAAATAATAAATATATGTTGCATTTATTATTTTTTGAATTTTATTTTTAATTGTGTATTTATAAGTAAAATAAGGGTATGATAGTAAATTAATATTAATATTAGGAATGAGAGTCTCAATCCTAAATTTGAGTGGGGCCCACCAATCTCACTCCCATTTCAGGATAAAAAATAACAAGTAAACATGAGATTGACTCCATTTCCCCACTCCCATTCTTCAATCCTGATAAGTAAACATGCCATCATGATTCTTCAATCCTGATAAGTAAACAAACCATAGTTCAAATACACTGATTTTGATTATGATTTTTGAAATTTAAAATTTTTTATAAAAAAAACATTATAATAGAATTATAAAATCATGAATTTAAACTCATAAAACAAACATATTTAAATAAAACGGTGGGTTTCATATTACTGGCTTGCTTTCTAATAGAAGGTAATACTAACTATTTAGCTCTAGTGTCTTGTAATATTATTCTTAATAAGAATGAGGAATGTTAACATCATTTTTTGTCACTCTCTACATTTTTTATTTGACATGTGGACTTTAATATGTCATTTTTTGTTTAAATAATAATAATATATTATGTTAGCGAAATTCACATGTCAAACAATGATAAAGCTAGTGGTAAAGAGAGTGAGAGAAAGAGTGATGTTAGCATTTCTCTATATAGATTGCAATTCATGTCGGTGGGTTGTATTAACGTCGAGTTAAGGGTTAATATTTGCATCAATTAATCTAATCCATGAATGGTGGAGAATCATCAACCTTAACATGACCCGCCTTGACATAGATCGACACTTACGCGACCCACAAACCTGTTATTTTTGTGCACATTTAACTCTAAATTAACATGCAACCACTTAGGGCTCATTTGGTATATGGGTTATCCTATAGTGCAAACTCATGGTTTTAGTTATACCATAGTATTTTTCTTTAACAACAAAATTGAATTTCAAAAGTTATAAATCAAGAACATTGGTTTGAACCATGATTTGAACTCATATACCAAATAAGCCTGAAGGAGTAGAGATTGCGATTCGTAAAAAAATCTCGTTGCCTTTAAGGGCCACAAAACTTGGCCTTAAATACGTAGGCAATCAGGTATCTAGCCTTGGAGACCTCACATGGCAATATCTAGTTGAGGAAGACTTGTTGAAAAGGCATTGGCGCTGAAGGACAGTGCCACAGGGAAGGTGTTGATTTTTAAAACGTTTTCGAGTGCGGAAGTTTGGTAGTGCGGATCGTGTATAACAAAAAATTTCACAAAACTTTTTGAATATGCTATAGTTTATATTAATTTATGCAATAATAAATTAATCATATTAATTTATGATAATAAATACCTTAACGACGATTAAGACGATAGCTTGAATTATTTGGCCAATGAACGATCCTTGCTCCAAAGCTTTCTTAGAATACTAAAGCCTTCCTCATCTAATCCTTGAAACTTGCAAGACGTAGAGTGTGGGCTCAGGATAATTATCGAGTCACTCAATAATTTGTATTATTTCACTATTAACGCATGTACGTGAACAAATTAGGAAAAATTGGAAGAACACTTGTTCTATCTTTTTTTCTCTAAACTTTCGGCCACACTTAGGGAATTAGAAGATAAAAAAATCTTATTATCCAATTCTTATTGTCTCATATTTATAGAACACTAGAAGAACTATTTTATTTGTAGACAAAGCAATAAGAATTGGTAACTAATATATTTTAATCTCATTAAAATATAATTTCCCTTTTAATTTTGAAAATAAACTTTCCTTCTCTTTTCTTATAGGGTTGGCCAACATAGTGCATGAGAGAGAAAAATTATTCCTTAATCCAGTTTCTAATTTTAGCTCAAATTCAATTATAAATAAAGTAACACTTTACTTTCCTTTTTGAATTTAATTGGAAAACTTGTCAAACAAGTAAACTGCATTTACTTGGAGAGCAAGCAACTAAATCACAGTGAAATTTTTCCCTGTCACACGCCCCTTGTGGTCCCACCACATTATGTGACAGAATAATTAAATAATCACATTATTTAATATATAATTAATTCTTAATTAATTATTCGAGAGTGAAATAAAATCTAAATAATTCATCTTGTTTTGCAAATAATACGAGGATGACGGGGGGACTCATAGACTTATATTTTTTAGCTCTAATAAAATTAATAATTAATTAAACTCTTTAATTAAATAATTAATTATATTAATTCTAAAAAGTTATTCCACTAAAAACTTGAATTGCACTATCGAAGTTATAGACATAATTTACTTCTAAGAACTTAAAGTGTCCATTTGATATAATCACTACATATAGATCGAGTCTCCATAAATAATTCATAATTATAGTTAGGTAAAATCTGCTAACCTCTCTAATTACATCTTTATCCTCGAGTACCATTGATTCTCTAATGAATAGTATATTTATAAAACACATTCATGAATACGAGCTCGTTACTTATTCAAGTACCGAATCAACCCTTAAGGGAATTATTTATCTGCTTATTCAAAGAATAAGGAATGGATTGCATCTTGTATATTAACATTCTCAGTTATCCATTTCATCATGTTTTCAATATACAAAGAATAAGATTTAGCATCTCAAAATTTGTACCGAGTAAATAAAAAAACACGAATCCACAAATAGAAGTCTACTAACAACTCATGATTAAGATCGTTCTATATATGACCATCGGTAGACTCAAATTTGATTTTCTATATTTAACAGAAATTATCAGAAAATCAAATTGTGTCTGTGTCCCAGTTATACATAATATCATTATGGATAATACACTTATTCAATATCCCTCTATATTAATGATGCAGATAACTCCATTCCATTCTTAGTGGGAATGACATGTATTAGTAATGTTTTAATTAAAGATTCTAAAACTTTAATTAAATTCATTACGAACATCGTTTCAATTATTATCATTAAATATTATCCTCTCATATATAACACATATATACAATATTTAAGGTTACATTAATAATCACGGAATTTTCAATGATATTCATAAAGTATTCAATAATACATGCACATAAATAATGAATAAACTATTTTATTAATCAAATAATAAAATATCATTATTACATCTCATGCTTTAAGGACACCATTCCCAACAGAAGAGAGGGGGATCGCGCTTGAAAGATGAGAAGTTCATAGGCAATGGCACAAGGAAGAAAGGTTAACCTGGTTGAGGCTTTATGGGGAAGAGCTTCGTTGCCAACGCTAGCAAAAGCGAGAGAACATAGGTGATAAAGAAAGGGGAAAAAGTGACAAAAAGAAAAATATTATTTTTTATTGTAGGTAGGTGCTTTTTAAGATCCAAAGTGTTTTTTTTTTAAGAGGGACAAAATAAATGAAATTTTTCTAAGAGTGTGTTTGGTTGGAAGGAAAGATTCTGAAACTTTAATTAAATTCATTACGAATATCGTTTCAATTATTATCCTTAAATATTATACTCTCATATATAACACCTATATACAATATTTAAGGTTACTTAAATAATCACGAAATTTTCAATGATATTCATAAAGTATTCAATAATACATGCACATAAATAATGAATAAACTATTTTATTAATCAAATAATAAAATATCATTATTACATCTCATGTTTTAAGAACGCCATTCCCAATAGAAGGGAGGGGGATCGCGCTTGAAAGACGGGAAGTTCATAGGCAATGGCACAAGGAAGAAAGGTTAAACTTGTTAAGCCTTTATGGGGAAGAGCTTCAATGCCAACACTAGCAAAAGCGAGAGAACATAGAGTGATAGAGAAAGGGAGAAAAGTGACAAAAAGAAAAATATTATTTTTTATTGTAGGTAGGTGCTTTTTAAGACCCAAAGTGTTTTTTTTAAAAGGGACAAAATAAATAAAATTTTTCTAAGAGTGTGTTTGGTTGGAAGGAAAGATGGAGGGATGGAGAGGGGTGGAAAGAGAGGGCAAATCACTTGTTTAGTTGGAGGGAGGAGATGAAGGAAGGGGTTGATGGAATGAGAGCTCATCCTCTTAGGGCCACAAAATTACATCATTCCAATTATGGAATGATTCATAGAACCATCCAAATCATGCTTAAGAAGACTTTTTTATCCTATAGAAAAAGTATTGGCAAATAATAAGAAAGGTAATATACTAATTTAACAACCATACATTCATCCATCCTTTTCAACTCTCATTGCATCTTATGAAGTAATATGAAGGATTATGGTCATCCTCCTCATCCTTCATATTATCCATCCTTTCAACCATTTACATATTTATTGCTCTCCATCCCTCATACCAAACGGAG